CCACACGGCGGGGGGGGGGGCGTGCCCCTCCCCGCCCCCCCTAACGCGCGCCATGGCCATGGCCGCGAATCTTTAATCGCGCTCAAGCTCAATGGCACGGTCGAGATGCAACGCGGGGTCATCGCAAACGCCAAATACCAAAACTCGGGGGTGGCATCGACAGACCCCCAGCCTCCAGCTGTGCCCGCTGCAGTTCCCGCCAATGTTCCCCCTTCCGGGCCAATCGTGGATTTGATGGGCGATGGTGCACCAGGCGGCGGAGGCGAGGATTGCGACGAGGATGACGGAAGAAGAAGAATCCGAATAATAATAAGAATAATAAGAGGAATAATAATTCTAATAATCATAGAAAGAAGATGCGACGAATCGTTCGATTATACTTGCCATAGTTCGGTACATTGCCAGCACGAACCCTGCGATGCCCTGAACGACCCCCTGCGGGCGACCTCCCGCTTCCCTGGCGATCCACTCGACGACGACGACGACGATCTGGGTGCGAAGAAAAGAACCATTGAAAGTTCTAGAAAGACAAGAATAGAGAGAACCAAGGGAGACAACACCATAAACTTGAGAGGCGCAAGCTTCGGCGGGCGGGCGATAATAGTGGCGAACACAGCGGGTGCCCCGACTCATTTGGCAGGTTGCTCTCCAATTCATCTTTGCGCACCCGAAAATGTACTTGCTCCGTCATGGCGGTGGCGGTTCGGACAGGCTCGAATTGCCCAGTCTTCCGTCACCTGCAACTCTGATCGATTGGCAATCTCAGATCCGCCAGAACGCGTCACCTGCGACCCAGCATCCGGACAATGATTACAAATGTGTTCGGGCCGCGTTCGATGCGTAATTGTTGGCACGGTTGGAAGACCAGGAGTAATGTTCGAACATATCAACATGAATATACTTGCTGACATGTTGCAGATAAGTAATGACATCATGGTAAACAGCGAGGTCAGATCTAAACTCAGCGATGTTGTTCCGAAGATTCTGCATGAGCACCAGATCGCGAAGAATGAGAACCTTCGAAGATGGTGCAAGGCCGGGAGGTTGTCAGGCTCTTTGCCAAGCGTCTCCGCTCGAGGGTGTGTTGGCCAGATTATTACAACGGGCGATTGGTTGAAACGGTCGTTACCCGGACAAGTCGTCCTCCCCGGATAACGGCAACAATCGTGCGTAGTGGGGGGGCCTGGAGACCCCCACTCACATGCTGGTGATCGCGCACACCTGGCGACGGAAGTGAATCCTCGTCCCGACGTTCGGTAGCCACATTTGAGCCCTACACCCACCCCGCGCGACTTCTAAGGGGGAGGTGGGGGCGGAGCTCCCGAGCGGAGTGAACCCCCACCCCACCTCAGAAGTCGTGTGGGGGGGGGTTAGGATTCACATGTGGCCACGTAGCCGTGCCTCACCACGCCCAAGCGTTTCTGTTACCCGGGGCCCTAGAACCCCGCGCGCCCACAGATAACGACCGCTGCCAGAACTCTTAACAAAAAGCACGCCCTAGAGGGGGGGACCCTCGCCGGGGAGGGGGGAGGGGCACCAGTCACGTCGGTATTCCAAAGATGGGGTCCTGAGGGCTGGGGTCCTCATGACGAGGTGCCTCCATCTGTGCAAGTCCACCCTTGGATCCCGTCCTACAGTCAACCCGCAAAGCAAGGATGGGCAAGCTTCCCAAGGGTACAATTGCATCGTTGCCTCCTCGGTCCGTCCTTGGCCTCTTTCGTTGGCCGCGCCCCGCCCGAAAAGCGTCGCAACAGCCCTCCGAGGCCCTTGCATCCTTACCGCGCATCCTTATGATACGGGCTGACTGTGTCCTTTGGACCTCTTTCCTCAGGACCTCGCCTTGAAACCACTGATCATGGAGGAGGGACGTCTCGACCCTCTTCCCTGGGCTGGTTTTGCTCATAGGCAGTTTTTGGACGGTCCCGGGGCCCTGCGGGGACCCCAACGGCAGAAGACGACCAATATCTTCCCGTCGTGATCTTTGTCACGACGCGAGCATGTCTGGGTCTTCCTTCTCCCTGCAGCGGTCGGGCCAGGAAAGCCCCCGGCGGCTCGAGGTGGCACATACTCCTCCCTCCTTCTCTTTCTCCGCCTCCTCCCTTTTCTCCTCCTCCTCCTCCTCCTCCGCCTCCTGCCCCTCTTCCTTCATCTCCTCCCTCTCCACCTCCTCCTCCTCCTCTTTTTTCCTCCTCCTCCTCCTCATCTTCTTCCGTTCCTATCCCCCTTCCTCTTCCTCCTCCTCCTCCTCCCTCCTTCTCCTCCCTGTTCCTCCTCCTCCCTCCTCCTCTCTCCTCCTCCTCCTCCGCCTCCTCCTCCTCCCCTCCTCCTTCGCCTCCGCCCGCCCCAGATCCTCCCTCCTCCCTCCTCCTCCTCCTCACTCCTCTTCCTCCTCCTCCCCCTCATCCCCCCTCCTCCTCAATCCTCTATCTCCTCCTCCTCCTCCTCCGCCTCCCTCCTCCTCCTCCTCCTCCTCCGCCTCCTCCTCCTCCTCCTCCTTCGCCTCCTCCTCCTCCTCCTCTTCCCCCTCCTCCTCCTCCTCCTCCTCTCCTCCCTCCTCCTCCTCCTCCCTCTTCTCCTCCCCCCCTCCCTCCTCCTCCTCCTCCTCCTCCTCCTCCTTCTTCATCCCTCCTCCTCCATCCCTTCTCCTCCATCCCTCCTCCCTCCTCCTCCAGGGGCACCCGTGCGGGAGCGGCCCGCGCGCCCCCCCAAAGATCTGATGGAAGCCCTCGTGCCGATCATCAGCGAGCGGGTGGAGGACCTCTCTCTCTCTCCAGAGGGGGGGGTAAGGGGAGGAGGCGAGAGGAGCAGCAGCATCGGATAAGGAAGAGGTGAGGGGGAGGGGGGGGAGGGGGAGGGGGAGGGGGAGGGGGAGGAGGTGATGGAAGCAGCAGCATCGGATGAGGAAGAGGTGCCGATGCCGCTGCATTGCCTCGTGTTGTCCCGTCTGGGGCCTCCTGGGAGGCCCTCTTCGCCACGGTTGGACTCGCTTCGAAATTCCGGTCAGAATGGGTCTTGGGAGGTCCGCGGAGTAGTGCAATCGGTACCTTGTGGCTTCCGCAGGGCATGGAGAGGGAGGGAGATAAGGGGAGAAGGAGGAGGAGGAGGAGGAGGAGGAGGAGGAGGAGGAGGTGGAGAGAGCAGGTGCAGGCTTCTTCCTGTAGCCGACAAGCCGATTGTGCCGCATATTGGTCAGTTGTCATTGGAAGGAGGGAGGGGGAGGAGGAATGACGACCAGGACAGGTGAGGAGGAGGAGGAGGAGGAGGAGGAGGAGGAGGATGAGGAGGAGGAGGGAGGAGGAGGAGGACGACGAGGGGGGAGGAGGATGGATGAGGTGGAGGTGGAGGGGCAGCAGGATAAAGAAAACATAACGAGTCAGAGCGAGGAAGATGGAGGAGGGATAAAGGGGGCGTCGCTTCGACGCGGCGCGACGCTGGCGCAGGTGCTCAAGGTCGAGCGCTCTCCGCGGGCCCGCTTCGGGCCCGACGCCAACAGAGAGCCACCCGCCGCGCGAAAAGCACACGCGTGGAAGATGGGGCCGAGCGCTCGCGGGGGCGTCCGAGAGCGGAGACGGCTCCTGGCTGCGGGAGTTGCGTAAGATGTTGTTGGTGATGGCAGCGATGAGAATGATGCCATGGTCATGATGATGACGATGGAGACGACGATGGCCATAACGATGATGAGGAGTGGACGATGACGATGGAGACGACAATGGCCATAACGATGATGAGGATTCGGCTTGCAGCTCGCTGGTAACATAGCCGCAGACCCTTGCCGCACGAGCACGCTCACGCAGCCGCCGCCGCGGCGGCAGGCGGACCTCGATCCGCCCTAGTCCATGTCCACGTCTACCTCCTCCTCCTCCTCCCTCCTCCTCCGCTGCTGCTGCTATATTGCCGCTACCACACTACCACACGACCGCTACTACAACAACTACTCCAACAAATACCACTTCTACCACTATCAATACGCCCTGTCCTGCCTGAGCGAGGAGGGTATCGGAGAACCATACTATTTACAAAGTTTCGTGCCCATCCCACCCCTCCAGGGAGGCCCCGCCTGAGCGAGGAGGGTATCGGATAACCATACTATTTGAAAGGCTTCGTGCCCCTCCAACCCTCCAGGGAGGCCCCTCCAAAGCGAGAAGGGTGTCGGAACACCATACTAGTTTTCACAATTTTGTGCCTGTCCCACCCCTGCAGTGTGCAAAGTATTGTGCCCCTCCAGGGAGGCCCCGCCAGAGCGAGGATGGTGTTGGAACACCATACTTGTTTTCACGGTTTCGTGCCTGTCCCGCCCCTCCAGGGAGGCCCCGCCAGAGCGCCCACAGAGGCCCCGCCACGCTTCTCACTTCGGCCCCACTGTGACATCCTTCTGTGGAGAACTCCAGTAGCATGATCTTCCCCATTGCAGACAGACTTGTCTTGTACGCGCGTGCCTTCAGTGAGCCCCGTATCCAATTTGCGTTGCCGCTGCAGGTCTCTTCCCCGGACCTGCGGCCACGGCCGGTGAGGGCGCCTGCGCTGCCCTGAGGTTTCGGCCGGTGCCCTGTCGGTGGGCGCCCGTGGGTTCCTCGCGGGCGCCTCGTGCGCTGGGTGGGTCAGCCGGGGTTTCGGCTGGTGCCCCGCCCGCGGGCGCTCGTCGGCTTGTCGGCGCCTCGCGGGCGCCTCGCGCGTTGAGTCATTGGGTCAGCCGAGGTTCCGCCTGGCTCGTGGGCGCCTCGCGCGCCCGGTGGGTCAGCCGAGGTTTCGCCTGGCACCCGCCCTTCTGGCGCCTCGTGGGCTCCCTGCGGGCGCCAAGTGCACTGGGTGGGTAAGCCGAGGTCTTGCCTGGTGCCTGCCCGTGGAACCCGTGGGCACCTCGTGGGCTCGGGACGCCCCAGGGGCGCCGCTGGAGGCGGCGCCGGGGCGGCGCCGGGGGCTGAGACCGCCCCGGGCTGCTCATGGGGCCTGTGTGCTGAGACCGCCCCGGGCTACTCGGGGGACCTGTGGAGGCCAGGCGGGGCTACCTGGGGGGGCTGTCTGCGCGCAGCCCGGAGCCTTTCACCAGTCCTGACTCTGGCATGTCGCGAGGAGGTCTGGAAGGCAGTGGGGGAGGCAGGGAGGCAGTGGCCCATCCTCCTCCTCCTCCTCCTCCTCCTCCTCCTCCTCCTCCTCCTTCTCTTCTGTCTCCTCCTCGCCCCTGCTCCTCCTCCTCCTCCTCCTCCTTCTCCTTCTCCTTCTCCTCCTCCTCCTCCTCCTCCTCCCTCCTCCCCCTCCCTCCTCCTCCTCCTCCTCCTCCTCCTCCTCCTCCTCCTCCTCCTCCTCCTCCTCCTCCTCCTCCTCCTCCTCCTCCTCCTCCTCCTCTTCCTTCTTCTCCATTCCTGCTCCTTATAGATAACTCCTCCCTGTCGTACCCCGATGCCAGTTTTTACGGTGGGCCGGGCGTTTCGCTTGAGACTTCTTCACCACTGACGACTCTGAAACTTCAAAAGTGACAACAGTTTCACTGCTGGAGGGGGAGGCGTTTTCAAAATGTGGCTCTAGTTTTAGCGCCGCGCACATTCGTTTTCAAAATTTGCAAGAGCTTCACGGATTGAGGGCGGGTCGTTTTCGAAATGTGGCTCTCGCCTTAGCGCCGCGCATATTCGTTCAACAAAAATTGCAAGCATTTCACCGATTCAGGGCAGGTGGTTTTCAAAATGTGGCTCTCGCTTGAGCGGCGCGCACATTCGTAATAAAAAATGCAAGAGCTTCACGGATCGAGGGCGGGTCTTTTTCGAAATGTGGTTCTCGCTTTAGCGCCCCGTACATTCATTGTTAAACATTGCAAGAGTTTCACGGATCGAGGGCGGGTCTTTTCTGAAATGTGGTTCTCGTTCTGGCGCCGCGTACATTCATTGTTAAACATTGCAAGAGTTTCATGGATTGAGGGCGGGTGGTTTTCGAAATGTGGCTCTCGCCTTAGCGCCACGCGCATTCTTTATAAACATTTGCAGGAGGTTCACGGATTCAGGGCGGGTCCTTTTTAAAATGTGGTTCTCGCTTCAGCGCCACGTCCATTTGTATGACAACCAATGTTTCACGGATTCCCATACTCAACGGACCAGAAATGGTGTTTTGGAAGGATTCAGGATTATGCGGGCGCAGCAGTTATGCTAATTCGCGATGTTGAAATCCCAAGAATGGCGTTCTGGCACGATTCCGGATCGTCAAGACGCAGCAGTCAGGTTCATACGTGACGTTTGAATCCTGAGAACACTGATTTGGCACGCTTCAGGATCTTCAAACGGCTGTCTTCCAACGAGGCAGTTCCCTCAATGGAAATGGACCGTTGTAGGGGCCTGTGAAGAGGGAGCTTGAATGGAGGGTTCATTCCAGCATCGTTCATGACTCTTGGGTTTACACTGGTCCTCCTCCTCCTCTTCCTCCTCCTCCGCCTCCTCCTCCTCCTTGCTCCTTCCTCCTCTCTCTTCCTCCTCCTCCTCCTCCTCCTCCTCCTCCTCCTTCCTCCTTCCTCCTTCCTCCTTCCTCCTTCCTCCTCCTCCTCCTCCTCCTCCTCCCTCCGTCCTCTTCCTTTTCCATCCTCCTCGCCCTCGTCCTTGTCCGAAGAGGAGGCCCCCTCGGAGTGAGGAGCGCCCGCGGCGAGCCCAGGACTTCCGGCCCCGCGAGCTGGCCCGCGTCGCGGACGCCTACGCGCGCGCCGCGGTGCAGAGCCCCGACCTGTTCGCGCTCGCTGCGGAGGCGCTGCCTCCGTACCTGTACGACCTCGAGCCCGGGGCTTTTGCGGCCCGATCGGGGCAGGAAGGGCTGGGGGGGAGGAGGCGGAAGAGGAGGAGGAGGAAGGAGGAGGAGGAGGAGGAGGAGGAAGGAGGAGCAGGAGGATGAGGATGAGGATGATGACAATGCTGCTGCTGCTGCTGCTGCTGCTGCTGCTGCTGCTGCTGCGGTTTGATGATGATGATTATGATGGATGATGATGATGATGATGATGATGATGATGATGATTGATGATGATGATGATGAATCTGATGCTGCTGCTGCTGCTGATGATGATGATGATGATGATGATGATGAGGATGAGGATGAGGATGAGGATGAGGATGAGGATGATGATGATGATGAGGAGGAGGAGGAGGAGGAGGAGGAGGAGAAGGAGGAGGAGGATGATGATGATGCTGGTGATGATGATGATGATGATTATGCTGATGCTGATGCTGATGATGATGCTGGTCAGTATGCTGGCCATGATGATGATGATGAGGAGGTGGAGGAGGAGAAGAAGGAGGAGGAGGAGGAGGCTGCTGCTGATGATGACGAGGAGGGGGAGTGGAGGAGGAGGAGGAGGAGGAGGAGGAGGAGGAGGAGGAAGAGGAGGAGATTTATGATGATGAGGGGGGAATGGGAGGAGGAAGAAAGGAAGGAATATAGGAAGGAAGGACGGGAGGAAGAATGGAAGGAAGAGGAAGGAGGAAGGAGGAGGGAGGGGGGAGGAGGAAATGAGAAGAAGGGATCAGGAGGAGGAGGAGGAGGGCGAGAGGAGGAGGGAGGAGGTTGGGGGGGGGAGGGAGGGAGGGAGGGAGGAGGGAGGAGGAGAGGGAGGAGGAGAGGCGGAGGAGGAGGAGTAGGAGGAGGAGGGGTGAGGGAGGAGAGGAGGAGGAGGAGGAGGAGGAGGAGGAGGAGGAGGAGGAGGAGGAGGAGGAGGAGGAGGAGAAGGAGGAGGGAGGAGGAGGAGAGAGGAGGAGGAGGAGGAGGAGGAGGAGGGAGGGAGGAGGAGGAGGAGGAGGAGGGAGGAGGAGGAGGAGGAGGAGGAGGAGGAGGAGGAGGAGGAGGAGGAAGAGGAGGGGGAGGAGGAGGAGGAGGAGGAGGAGGAGGAGGAGGTTGGTTTGTTGGGTGTTTGGTGGGTGACCTCCCAGCGAGGTGGCATGTTGGGACTGCGGGCTCAGCCTGTTTAGTGGAGAGCTGCGGGGTCCAACCGGCGACCGACAGCAACCCCGCAACGTCAGCCCAGGGATGGATGAGACCACTCTCGGGAAGCAGCCCTGGGAGAGAGGGGGGTACGAGGACTTGCGTGCCACCGTGCCCAAACCTTTCTCAGTTTCACAGGCTCCCTCCGGGGAGGTGCCACGCCCAATACCTGATTGCAAACGCTAGATTTGGGTACTCCTGGGGGGGAGGAGGGCATCAGCGGCCCTCCAGCAGGGATCCTCGCCTGGTCTCGACTCCATCCTACGCCAACGCACGACGCAGGTACGAGGTTAGCAGGATGGAGGAGGGGGGGGAGGGGCACGCGCAGCCGGCCCATCCCAAAAGCCGTCCCACATCAGCCACGACCGGCTCCAAGGGTCCACACCGAGGTCCCAGTCGGTGCCTGACCCCCTTCGACGCACTCCGGAAAGAGCCGCAAGAGCCGCCCCCCTTTCAGAGCGCTGGGGAGGAGGCGCGGGGCGCGGGGAGGGGGGCCCAACGCCGACCCAGGAACTCCACACAGACCTCCAAGAGGGAACCGACCAGGAGAGGGAGGAAGGAGGGACGGAGGGAGGCAAGGAGTGATCCAACCTCCACTCCGTCAGGGCTCACCCCGTAACAAAAAACGCCGGCGGGCCTGGAGGCACTCTCACTCCCCCAACATCCCTGGCAGCCAGCCGCGCCCGGCGGCCACCGAGGCGGGCCCAGGGGCCCTCCCGGGCTTCCCGGGCAGTTTTCGCAATACCGAACAAAGGCGCCAGGCGGCCGCCGCGACGGGCCCCGCAGGCCCGCCCCGGGCAGTTCTTCCTGTTCCAAACAGAGGCCCGTTTGGCACCGCAAAAATTGCCCAGGGGCAGGAGGCGACCGGGCGCCCCCGATCCGGCGGCGGAGCTCGGGGGCGAAACCCGGCGGACCGCCCTCGCGGCTGGGCAGGGAAATTTAACGCCGCAGGGACGACGAAGACGCCGACGACGACGACGACGACAACGACGACGACGACGACAACGACGACAGCGGGAGCGGCGGCAGCGCCAACGCCGGCGACCACGGCGGCGGCAGGGACAGCCACAGCAACAGCGACGAAGACAGCACAGCGGCAACAGCAACGACGACGGCGCCGCAGACGCCGAAGGCGACGGCACGGACCCACCCCAGCCCACCCCATCCCAGCGAGGACCAGAAGGGAGGGAGGGGGGAAGAAGCAGGGGCGGCAGGGAGGCCCAGGCGAGACATCTCCGAAGCGCCCTCTCGAGCGCGCCCCCCCAAAGGCAGGAGGCGCCCAGGGTCGCATGGGGAGCGGATGCAGGAATGGACGCCGCGCCGTGCAACGGCAGAAGAATCCGAAAGGAGGAGGAAAAAAGGGGAGCAGTGGCCCAAACTTCACAAACTCATCCCAACCTGATCCTGCAGGACTGGCAGGGACGGAGGGAGGGAGGAGGGAGGAAGGGAAGAGTCCACCGCAGCTCAATCCATCGCTCCCAACCCCGCCACAACCCTGCAAATAGGTCAGCCGACTACGCGGCACAGGACGCCCCGTTAGCGTCGCGCCTCCACGGCGACCTCCACGCGCCTCCACTGCGCTTCCAGGGAGAAGGAGGAGGCGGAGGAGGCGGAGGAGGAGGAGGAGGAGGAGGAGGAGGAAGAGGAGGAGGAGGAGCAGGAGCAGGAGCAGGAGGAGGAGGAGGAGGAGGAGGAGGAGGAGGAGGCGGAGGATGAATAAGAAGAATAATATGAATGATAAGCAGAATAAGACGAATAAGAAGAAGAACACACATAAGACACATAATAATAATACTACGATCAATCATAATAACAATATGAAGAAGAAGAAGAATACTAAGACGAATAATAGTAATACGACTAAGAAGAAGAAGACGAGTAAGAATAATAATAAGAAGAAGAAGAGGAGGAGGAGAAGGAGGAGGAGGAGGAGAGGAGAGGAGGAGCAGGAGGAGGAGGAGGAGGAGGAGGAGGGCGGGGAACGTCGAAACAACACATATAGGAGCCGTACCCGCCCCATCTCGAAACTTGGGTCTTCGGGTCAGGTTGGGGTGGTCTGGCAGGTACGTTGTCATGATGCATAGTCCCTGATCTTCGTATCTTGCGCTATCCCCTGTCTCTGCAGCAGACCAGTGAGGCTCAGCGGTGCTTGCCGCGCCCGTGGCCCAGGTAATGCGTAGGCGCAGCGCCCCGGCCTGCTGGACAGCAGTTCTGTCCATGCTGAGGAAAGGAGTAAAACAGGTCTGGCGTCGCCACGCTCAGTGACATCGAAAGCGTTCAAGCTTGAGCGCCGATGGTGGCCCAGAATGGGCCGGCATCGAGCGACCTGAGCTGCTGGAGACCGAGTCAGACAAAACTGCATGCACAGGAACTTTTGATGGTCCGCGTGGATCTGCACTGGCTCCCCCTCCCTGGCGAGCGCGCCAGGGGCGGCCACGGAGGCGCCGCCATGGGTGGTCCAGCCCAGATCTACGAAATCTGCGCGGACCGTCAACAGTTTACACGACGAACGTTGAAAGCAGATATTTCTGGAATCCCAGATCGCAATCTACTTCAAGCGACTTCGTACTGCAAGACTCGATGTGCGTTTGCTGCGCTGTGTTATTCTCTGGGAGGGCCCAAGCCACGCCCAATCTACTTTAGTATCCGCCTGCCTACTCCATGTTCGTACCCACTTTTGCCGACTGACGTGTCTGCTTGTGCAGCCTATTCTGTCTCCAGGGAAACTGGGATTGTTCGAGATTGAGCGTTCGGCTTCCAGACAGGATCCTCAGAAGCAGCGAAGGGCGTCTACGGAGGCCCTTCCTTTCTAAGAGGCCCTTCCTTCCTAAGAGGCCCTTCGCCTTCTCAAAACATTGAGAGGGAGCGGAACGGTATGACACAAACTTGTCCGCCGTCGAGGACGCCTGCCCCCCGGGCGGCTGCAAAGTTTACACGGTGCCAGGTATAGGGGCGTAAAAAATTTTGCAGCCGCCAGGGGGGCAGCCGTTCCCGATGGCGGACACGTGTCTTTCATACCGCAGGGCTGGCGAAGAGAACTATGCACATGCACCGATCCTGGCAAGGCCCATCCTCGACCCAGGATCGGTGCATATGGCTTCCTGGTCAGGGTGGGAGGGCGTATGCACCGATCCTGGGCTCCGGATGGGCCTGGCCAGAATCGGTGCATGTGCATTGTGTTTTTTCCTCTAGCAGGTCAGAAGCCAGCACCGGCGCCACCGCGGCGCCCCAGACATCCGATGCCTCGAGTCTTGCCCACGAGGGGGAGCGGCGAGGGCCCCCCCCCGGCAGCCAGCTGCGGCCAGCCCAGAGCCGCCTGCCGTGGCTTTCTTCGATGCCCGACGCGAGCAAGGCATGTGTCTGGGTCGGAGGCCGGCGCCCCCGTCACCGCGGCGCGTGCACCTGAGATGGCCGTGGCCAGCTGGGGTGGGCAGGAGCGGCCTCGGCTGCTTGGGCTGCCACCGAGCTTTTTTTTTGTCCGGCGCACATCTTGGGAGGAGAGGGAGGAAAGCTGAGGGGACGATGCGCGACGCCGTAGTTAATCCAGTCCACTCTGGCTCGAGATCGGCAGCTTGGCGGCGTGGTTGCCGCAACCGGTCGTCACGCGCACCAGTACTCGCAGTAAAAAAAATGCTGACGCCGAGCTTTCCCGGTTCGCGCTTCTACGGCTTGCCGTGCGCATGTCTCGCTGTGCTCGTTTGCCCGTGAGTCGCGCGTCTGGGATAGCCCTCCTGAGGCGCAGCGGGCTTTTCTACACGTCTTTCCTGCTCGCTGTCGTGGCACACGAACGGTCTCCCTGCGGACTGGAGGCCCGGCGACCTGGCGGCGCTGTGCCGCGGCTTCTCGGAGGCCGCGGTGTACAGCAGCGAGCTGACGGACGCGGCCTCGGCACTCCCCTCTCGCTTTGAAGTCGGCCGCCGGCCCTGGCGGCCGAGAGGGGGCGGAGGAGGAGGGGGAGGGGGGGGGGGGAGGGGGGGGGGGGGAGGGCGCGGAGCAGAAGGGAGGGGGGGTGAAGGAGAGAAGGGGGGGAGGGAGGAGGGTGAGGAGAGAAGGGGGGGAGGGAGAGAAGGGGGGGAGGGAGAAGGGGGAGAGAAGGGGGGGAGGGAGAGAAGGGGGGGAGTGAAGGGAGGGGAAGGGGGAGGGGTGATGAAGTGAGGAGGGGCATCTCGTCGCCACGGCGGGGCCCGCCTCGGAGACCCCCCACCCCATGGCACTGTTCCTGAATTTCGGGCGGCCTCCCGGAGGTTTCACGTCGCCGCGGCTGGATCAGCCTCGAAGGCCCCCCCCCCCCCCCTGCGAGTTTCTTGTTAGGGGGGCCTCCTGGGGGGTTCTCAGCGCCACGGCTGGAGCTGCCTCGCACGCCCTCCCCTGCGGCTTTCCTCCTTTTGGGGCCTCCTGGGGGGTTCTCGCCGCCACGGCCGGATCCGCCTCGGGAAACGGGTCCGGAGGGACCCCGGGCCGCGTCCCTGGACCGACCCTGAGCTGATCTGGTGCTCCTTCCCCTCTGCAGTCAGCCGGCGCAACACGGACGAGCAACTGTCCAAGGTCACCCTTGCATCCCTGCCCCTTCGGCCCACCCTGCGCGAACTTCGCTGGCCAGCCCCGTTCGAGAAACGTGAGCCCGGGCTCGATTTGGGGGGATGTCTGAGGCAAAACCGCCATTCTCTGAGAATCGGGGTCAAAAGTATTGAAATTACAATATGTTTTTGAAGGTTTTATTTTAAAATGTTGAAGCTCCTATGTGTTTTTGGACCCTGACGTCACGATCTGCGGGAGTGGTGCCACAGACCTCCCACGTCGCGGCTCGTTCTGGCGCGCGGGGCGCTCCCGAGAGGCCCGGCGGCAGGCGGCGGCAGAGGGGCCGGTGGGCGCTGGCAGGGGCACGCACATCGCCTCCTCGAGCGGTCGCACTTCTGCAGGGGTCTGGTCTGCAGAGTCCTGCTCTTGTCGTCGTCTGCGTCGTCGTGCTCCTCGTCGTCGTGGCTGTCGCACACTCGTCGTCGGCCGTTGTCGTCGTGCTCGTCCTCGCCGTCGCGCGCGGGGTGCGCTGCAGCAGAGCCGAGTGACGAATGCCAGGCGTGTGCGCTCTCTGCGTCGCCACTTCCTCCTCCTCCTCTACCTCCTCCTCCTCCTCCTCTTCCTCCTCCTCCTCCTCCTCCTCCTCCTCCGCGCCACTTTCGTGTCGCCACTTTCGTGACGCAGAGACGCACTGGCGCGTACGCTGCCCGCGCCGGGTCGCGCGTGAGCGCCCCCGTCTCCAGAGCAGCCCGCCGCGCCGGCGGCCCGCGTGAGCCACCGCGTGAGGTCGCCACGTCGTCTCGCGCAAGGCCAGGTTTGATCGTCGCTCACGTGGCCCTGGGGCCTGTCGTCTCTCTCCCCCCCCATTCCTCGCTGGGCTACAGCGTTTCGCTCGCGGTCGTCACCTTTTTCAATAGCCCCAGGGCCCGCAGATTTCCCAGAGACAGCGTGATCTTCACGGGCGATGGGGGCCTACATCGGAGGCGAGGGGGCGAGATCGCAGCGAGGCGGAGACCCCCCCACAAGGAAATCGTTTTCGGCTTCGTGATCGCGCCGTGCGTGCGGGCGGGGCGAAGCTGCGTGGGCGGGCGGGAGGAATGAACCCTCACTTGCTTGGGCGTCGCCAGGCCAAAAGATCGCCCCCCCCCCACCCTGGGTTGGCCTGCGGTTGCCTGGGGTGCCCCGCCGTGGTGGGCCGATGGTGTCCCGTGGTGTCCTGTGGTGTCCCGCGGTGGCCTGTGCTGTCCAGTGGCGCGGTGTCCCGTGGTGTCCCGTGAGGTCGATGGTGAGATCGGTAGTGAGATCGAGAGTGAGATCGATCTTGGGATCGGTGGCGAGATCGATAGTGGGATCGCTAATGAGACTGATAGTACGGTCGGTAGTCAGATCAAAAGTGAGATCGATGGTGAAATCGATTGTGAGATGGATTGTCTGATCGATATTAGATCGATGGTGAGATCCATCGTGAGATTATCAGTGAGGTCGATCGTGGGATCGATCATGAGATCGATAGTGAGATCGATAGTATGACCGGTAGTGAGATCGATAGTGAGAGGGATAATCAGAGCTATAGCAAGTTCGATTAAGATACCGATCGTGAGGGCGATAGCGATATAGATCGTGAGATCCATAATGATATCGATGGTATGATCGAATGTGAGGTCGATAGGGAGATCGAACTGTGATATCGATAGGGAGAGCGATAGTTAGATCGATCGTGTGAGATCGGTATTGAGAGGGGTAGTGAGATCGACTATGATTTCGATCGTGAGATCGATTGTGAGATCAATCGTGGGATTAGTAGTCATTGCGAGAGTGGCATCGATAGTAAGATGGATAGTACGATGTATGGTGAAATCGATCGTGATACCGACAATGAGAGGTATAACGAGGTCGATCGTGATATCGTTTGTGGGATCGATCGTGGGATCGATCGAGTGCGAACGACCCTGATATCGGTCGTGATATCGATAGTGTGATCCATTGTGTGAGACGTTGGATCCTCCACCTCCCCGAACCTCCTCAGCACACGAAGGTAAGTCTTACATGAACTATCCTTGCAGGGGCTCGCCGGGTTGACCGACGCGGCGGAAACGTCGGCGTCGCTGCCGTCTCTGTCGCCGGCGGCGTCTCTGTCGTCGTCGCTCCGAAGATCCGACGTCGTGAAGAAGTTGCAACATCGTGAGAAAGTGCGACCCGAACCTGGACCCCACCTTTCTGCGGCATCTTTCGAAGTGGATCGATCCGTGAGGGTCTGGCCCGACATCGCCCGGATGCCCCCAGAGCGGAAAAGAACCCCGATCTCATGTTCGGCCTTCGCCCCCCTCCAAGGGGTGGGGGGGCCCCAAGTTCCACCCCCCCCGCCCCTTGAAGGGGGGGAGACCCTGTTGGGGAGGCCGGTGTCAATGGGGGGGGGGGGGGGCCCACCCAGTTCTCCAGGGGCACCCGAGGGTTTTTCGTTGGGGGGGGGGGGGGGGGAGGGCCCGAGTCCCAACCAGTCCAGGGCTTGTTTGCTCCAGGCGAGCGCCCAACGAAACGCGCTCGCCCCGATCCCCGGGTATCGGCGCGCCAGGAGCGGCTTGCCGCCGCAGTCGGCGCGCGGGCGTGGCCCTTTCTCTGGGGCCCGCCCGGCAGTCGCCCGGCGGGGGCGAGAGCCGCGCGTGTCGCGGCCCTCTCGCCGCGCTCCGGCGGGGGAGGGGCCCTCTCGCCTCCCGCGAGGGTCTCTCGAGAGCCGGCGCGCTATACTTTCGGAGGAAGAGGGCCCCTCCTCGGGAGGGACAAGAAGCACGCCAGGCACAAAATGCATCGTCGGCTCCCAGGAAGATGCGGGAAGATGTGCGAAAAGTGGGGGAGGACGAAGACAGGACGAAGACCAAGCAAGGATGTGGAAATATAGGGGGACTCCTGGGATTTGTGTTTCTTTCTCTGTGTGTCCCTGGGCCCCTCTACCCACGCCTTCCCGTGATCTTTCCGGAGAGGAGCCGTCATGACCATAATTCTTTCGGAGGTCCGCGGCGCTCATTTCTCGGGTCGGCGCTGGACCCCAATGGGCGGCGCCTCTGGCGCCGCCCCTGGCGCGCTCCGCCCGCCGGGGAGGGGAGGAGGCGCCCATCCGAGGTCTGCGCTGGTTTGGGCGAATTTGGGCCGCCTGGCAGGACTACCGCTTTCCAGAATGCGGGCTTGCCGCCGCTCATTGACGGTGCGGGCACGCATCCCGATGGCACAGTCTTCGTGCGATGCTTGCAGCTGGGGCTCGCGGCAATCTTCCCCTCGGCCCCGTCAGGCAAGTTCGAGTCCCCAGACCTCGAGCCTCAGGCCTCCCCGAGAGAGAGAGAGAGAGAGAGAGTGGGGAGGGGGGACATGCCTTCCGAGGACGCTCTCTGCGAGGAGGTGGTCAAGAGGCCCAGCGAGGGCGCCGCTCCGGCCTCTCTTCTCCAGTCTTGAGCTTTCAATCCCGCCGCTTTCCCGACGGCCTGACTCTGCCCACAGAAGACGAGCGAGTTACATTGACATCAATGTTGGGAGTTCCGCACGTTTTTCTTGGGTCGGGCGCTGGACCCCATGGGGGTCCGAACGGTGCTGTTCAAGCAGTTTCTCCTTGGTCTCATTGTTATTATTTTCATGATCCTTTTCCTTCTGCTTGTAATTATTATACTGCTAAGAATCATTATAATCGTCATTCTTACTAGTATTTTTATCATCATTCTCGTTCTTATTGCTAAGGCCTTACGGCCAGTGCCGCCGACGCTGGAGGCCTCGGCCATCTTGGGTTTTCGTTGTGCGCTCCCGACACGCCCCGGGAGGGTGGATTTCTGACCCAGGACCACCCCCGGGGGCCGAAGGGATCAAAGGGAAGGGGCTCCCCTTCGACTCAATGACGACGTTGCTGCATTTCGCTGCGGATGGGCCAATGTATCGGGAAGTGGACAAGGTGACAACGCCGGAAACCTTTACACACGTACCATACATCGATAATGTTTGCCCCTGGAAGCCGTCTTGGAAGTCCTATTGGAGGCTTCTTGGGGCGTTGTGACAACTTTTTGTGCCATCTGGAGGCTACTATGGCGACTTATACCGGTACGTCAGCGATATGGAACCCTCGAACATCGTCTTGGGGACATCTTGGGGCACTTTTGCCGCGTCCTGCAGCTTTTCTTGGCCGCCGAACCGCCCAAGGGGGAGGCGCATCTGCCCTGGGACCCCCCGGGACCCCCGGGGACCCCCCCCCCGAGACACCCCTCCCTCGGGCGGGGAAGGGGTCAAAGGGAAGGGCTTCCCTTCGACTCCACTACAACGTTGCTCAATTTCGCTGTGGCTGGCGCGCTCGAGGAGGAGGGCCCGCGACGACGACGACGACGACGACGACGACGACAACGACCGCGACGACCACGACGACGACGACGACGACGACGACGACGAGTCAAACGGAGCAGCCTCTTCCACACGCCGACAGGGTCGGCGGAGTTTTTACATGGGTTCTGTTCGCCCGTCGGCGCAAATCGTGTGTTTTACATGGGTCCCCTTCGCCTGTGAGGCACAGCCATGTGGTTTCTTTCGCGCTCGTGGGCCACACGTTTTTCTAGTCCGTCTTGGTGCAGTTCGTCGTTTTTTTAGTTCGAGGCGGTTCGGTCTGTCCTTCGCCGTGTGTTTCGCGCACGGTCGATTTCGCCCCCCCTTTGTGCGTCCGGCTTCGGCACCGAATCGGACATTGAGCGCCAGCTGGTCGTGCGCCTCGCGCCTTTCGGCTGCAATCGGTTTGAGCTGTGCGTTGGGACAGCTCAAACGAGGCCACATTTCAACGCGGCATGGCACGGTCCAGTTCACCACAGCACAGCACAGGCTCTGGCACAGTATGTCACCATCGATACCTTCATAATTGCAGTTGGCCGTCGCCGATGTTCTGCGTCTTGAGAATATACTCACGCGTCACATGTCTACATCCCTTTCCAGGTCCGTGGGTCGACCGTGTTCCGAGTCTCCGACAAGAAGGTTTTGATTTTCAACGCAGGCTGCGCAGGGCACTGCATGCAAGGGTTCGCGTGAATGTGTTGCGGCAGTTGGTTGATCAGTGGCACACTTTAGCAAGCACCCTGTCAAGTGCCAGTGCCGTTTATATTCCTTGTTGCCTAGGGACTGTTTCCCTGGAAAGGCCTTAGGCCGATGGTTCTTGTCCCAGAAAGGGCGCGGGTCCAGGAATCTCCTTCAGATGCTCAGGTAAACTTGTCCCTCGGTGCCTCGTCGGAAGGAGGCTGGCGGATTTCCGCAGGATGAACAACAAACTTGGCGAATCCATATGTTCAAAAGAGCGCCGTTGTTGCCCGCTCGAGGACATTGCGCCCCCCACCTCGGATCCGCCATGAATGACGGGGTCGGCAGGCCTCTTTTTTCCAGTGTAGCAGCAGAGTGCACGGAGCGCTTCCGTAGCCACTCTGGCCCCAGAGGCTCGAGCGCTTTCCGTGGCCTGGGTCGGGCAGCCGGTCCCCGCCGCCGCCCGCCTGCGAGGCCAGCCGCTGCGCTCCGAGCGGCGAGCATGACCTGCCGCCGCCGCGACCGCCGCGGCGCGGGCGTGGCAGCGGTCGGCGCAGCCCTGGTTGCCACGTTGTGCGGGCACCTGACCCCAGTGGCCTTCGCCGGGCCGGCCGCAGCGCCCGCCCCGCTGCGCCGGGCGCCGCTGCGGGCTGCGGCCGCCAGTCTCAAGCAGTGGCGAAGCGTCTCGGCTCGCTTATAGCCCCACCTAACAATGTTCTAAGAACCTGTTGTGGTTCCCACGAAATGTTCTTAGAACATTTCTCGATGGGAGTGTCTTGTTTTAACACATCGGGTCTATGTTCTAAGAACATTATTTTTGTTATTAAAACATTTTTGGGTTCGAAGAACATTTCGTGGTGGGACTATAAGAATGCCGGGACGGTCGGTCCCTGCTCAACAGTCCCGGCCGCCAAGCGTCGGCTCCTGCAGCCGGAAGCCCCGGCAGCGTGGAGCGCCAGAGCGGCGTCAAGCACATATTTTGGGACAGATTTTACACGGTGTGGCGCATTCAGTATAGGATACAGAACGGTCCGGATCAAGGTCGCAGAAAGCAGCCCGCGTTCCGCCCGAAGGACGAGTCGCCGGAGGAGGTGGAGCGGGCGCGGCTCGCCGCCGTCGAGGCGCTGCGGCGGCTGGAGGAGGAGGACCGCGCGCTCGGGCCGATCAGCCTGGGCCGAAAGAGCGCAGAACGCCAGAGCGGCGTCAAGTACGTCTCTTGGGTCAGCAAGAAACAGACGTGGCGTGTGAGATACGTGATGGAGAACGGCCCAGGCAAAGGCACCATGAAGCAGCTCACCTTCCGCCCGAAGGACGAGTCGCCGGAGGAGGTGGAGCAGGCGCGGCTCGCCGCCGTCGAGGCGCTGCGACGGCTGGAGGATGAGGACCGCGCGTTCGGGCCGATCAGCCTGGGCCGAAGGAGCGCAGAACGCCAGAGCGGCGTCGAGTCCGTCTCTTGTGTCAGCAAGAAACAGGCGTGGCGTGTGAGATACGTGATGGAGAACGGCCCAGGCAAAGGCACCAAGAAGCAGCTCACCTTCCGCCCGAAGGACGAGTCGCCGGAGGAGGTGGAGCGGGCGCGGCTCGCCGCCGTCGAGGCGCTGCGGCGGCTGGAGGAGGAGGACCGCGCGCTCGGGCCGATCAGCCTGGGCCGAAAGAGCGCAGAACGCCAGAGCGGCGTCAAGTACGTCAATTGGGTCAGCAAGAAACAGACCTGGGGTGTGAGATACGTGATGAAGAACGGCCCAGGCAAAGGCTCCATGAAGCAGCTCACCTTCCGCCCGAAGGACGAGTCGCCGGAGGAGGTGGAGCGGGCGCGGCTCGCCGCCGTTGAGGCGCTGCGGCGGCTGGAGGAGGAGGACCGCGCGCCAGGGCCGGTCAGCTCGGGCCAACACAGCGCCGAGCGCCAGAGCGGCGTCGAGTACATTCACTGGAATAGAACAAGGCAGGCGTGGAGTGTTGATTACCACATGCAGAGCGGCAAAAACCAAGGCACCACGAAGCAGCTCACCTTCCGCCCGAAGGACGAGTCGCCGGAGGAGGTGGAGCGGGCGCGGCTCGCCGCCGTCGAGGCGCTGCGACGGCTGGAGGAGGAGGACCGCGCGCTCGGGCCGATCAGCCTGGGCCGAAAGAGCGCAGAACGCCAGAGCGGCGTCAAGTACGTCAATTGGGTCAGCAAGAAACAGACGTGGCGTGTGAGATACGTGATGAAGAACGGCCCAGGCAAAGGCACCACGAAGCAGCTCACCTTCCGCCCGAAGGACGAGTCGCCGGAGGAGGTGGAGCAGGCGCGGCTCGCCGCCGTCGAGGCGCTGCGGCGGCTGGGGGAGGAGGACCAGCTCGGGCGAGCCCGCGGTGGCAGTTACGACTGGGTGGAGCGTCAAAGCGGTGTCAAGGACATACACTGGCTCAAAGACCGACAGGCGTGGCGTGTTGAGTACCAGATGCGGAATGGCGCAGACAAAGGCACCATGAAGCAGTCCGCATTCGAGCCGAAGGACGAGTCGCCAGAAGAGGTGGAGCGGGCGCGGCTCGCCGCCGTCGAGGCGTTGCGGCGGCTCGAGGAGGAGGACCGCGCCCTCGAGCCGAGCGGCTCGGGCGGGCCCTGCGCCGGCCGCGGCCGCCGCGAGGTGCCGCTTCTCGACGGGCTGTTTCTGGTCGTCGGGGAGGATGTTTGACGCGGTTTGCGGGTTCCTGAAGTTGACGGTCGGCTACAGTGGCGGCAACACGCAGATGAAGCTCACGCACGAGAGCGTGCGGACGGGCACTCCGACGCCCACGCAATCCGCACAGAGTTCGACCCTGAGCCGATCGCCTACGACGCCGTCCTCACCCACTTTGGCACACGTGAGCGCACGCCAGCGCCAGTGGGCGTGGCGCTTGCGGAGGAGACACAATACCATACTCCGGATTCCATAACAAAGTGGGGGGGGTCACATTCGGGGGGGGGTCTAATTTGAGCTGTCTTGGAGGGTTCGGGGGGGTCTGGGCAAAGGGCCGCCCTTTCATGGATCGTCTGGGGGGCCTAAACTTCTCGTCTGGGAGGGTTGTGTCCCCCTCCTTTTTATTACGAAATCTGGAGTACGCAGCACTACGATACGCAGTGCCACTACGCGCAGTACTACTAGACGCATTTCTACTCAGCAGCCTGGCACCACTGTTATGCAGGACTGGTCGGCAGTGTGGCACCACGACCAGGAACAAGAGAGATGCTTTGCAAGCGCGCCCCAGCCAAGGCGCCCTGGACGTCCGCGCCGCGCGCATGGAGGAGTGACCCGACGCGGCGAGGCACCACCGGAAGATCTACCGCTCCCCACGGTTCGATGGCGAATCAGATATCCGTATCCGCGCCCACTGGGCCGCGACCCCACGGAGACGGGGCACTTTTTCTGCGGATGCCTCGCGCGGAACGTACCCGTGCGATTGCACATCCGCTGGACCGCGCCCCGGAATCCAGACCGCGAGGGCGCGGATACGGATCTGCTCGCCGCTCGTGAACGGGGGCGTGTCTTTGCTACCCGTTCCCAGACATGCGAGGTCCTGATTGTGAAGGCCTGACGGCCTGTGCCGTCGACCCAGAAGGACGACGACGACGACGACCCCGACGACGACCACGACCACGACGACAAAACAACAACGACGAGCTGATGACCATGCCACAAGCTCGGGACATGGGGCGGGCGGTGGAGGGAGGAGGAGGAGGAGGAGGAGGAGGAGGAGGAGGAGGAGGAGGAGGAGGACGAGGAGGAGGAGGAGGAAGAGGAGGAGGAGGAGGGAGGGAGGAGGAGGAGGAGGAAGCGGGAAGGAGGAGAGGAGGAGGAGGAGGATTTAGAGGAGAAGGGGGAGGATTTAGAGGAGGAGAGGAGGAGGAGGAGGAGGAGGGGAGGGAGGAGGAGGAGGAGGAGGAGGAGGAAGAGGAGGAGGAGGAGGAGAGGAGGAGGAGGAGGAGGAGGAGGAGGAGGAGGAGGAGGAGGAGGAGGAGGAGAGGAGGAGGAGGAGGAGGAGGAGGAGGAGGAGGAGGAGGAGAGGAGGTAGAGGAGGAGGTAGAGGAGGAGGTAGAGGAGGAGGAGGAGGTAGAGGAGGAGGAGGAGGAGGAGGAGGAGGTGAGAAAAGCAAGGGGGAGAAGACAGCACCTTCTCTCTCTCTCTCTCTCTTTCGCCTCTCCCTTTTCAGGTCGGTCTTGAGGTGCGTTCACTCGCAGGTGCGCGTTAGTGTGTCTTGCTCGACTGGACCTCGTCATGCGATGCGAGAAGGAGGAGGAGGAGGAGGAGGAGGAGGAGAGCTGAGTGTCTCCTCGGGGGCGGGCGTCCGGGAGGCGACGGGGCTGCGGACGGGGCTGGGGCCGGGGCTGGGGACGCGGCCAGGGCCGCGGCCGGGACCGGGGCTGGAGCTGGGGCCGAGGCTGGGGCCGGCAGGCTAAGGCCGTGGCCAGCGGTAACGGGGAGCCAGGGCTGGGGCCGGGCTGCGGCCAGGGCCAGGGCCAGGACGGGTCAGGAACGGGGCTGGAGCGGGGGCCAAGGCGGGTGCAGGGAGGGGGCCCCCGTCGTATCTGCCCCGGGACCCCCCCGGGACCCCCTCCGCCGGGACCCCCGCCCCCCCGCGGGGAAGGGATCCTTCGGCGCAACTACAACGTTGGTAAACTACGAGTCAAATGAAACAGCCTCTTCCACACGCCGACAGGGTCGGCGGATTTCCGTTTGCGCGAGCAGGGAGGAAGAGGAGGAGGAGGAGGAGAAGGTGGAGGAGGAGGAGGAGGAGGAGGAGGAGGACGAGGACGAGGACGAGGACGAGGACGAGGACGAGGACTAGGACGAGGACGAGGACGAGCACGAGGACGAGCACGAGGAGGAGGAAGAGGAAGGAGGGAGGAGGGGGGGGAGGGAGGAGCAGGAAGGAGGAGGAGGAGAGGCGAAGGAGGAGGAGGAGAAGAGGAGGAGGTGGAGGAGGAGGAGGAGGATGGATGGATGGATGGATGGATGGGATGGAGGGAGGGGAGGAGGGAGGGAGGGAGGAGAAGGAGGAGGAAGAGGAGGAGGAGGAGGAGGAGGAGGAGGAGGAGGAGGAGGAGGAGGAGGAGGAGGGAGGAGAAGGGAGGAGGGAGGAGGAGGAGGAGAGGAGGAGGAGGAGGAGGAGGAGGAGGAGGAGGAGGAGGAGTAGGAGGGACTCCACCCCGGTGGTCAAGGGCTCGAATCCCCCCCCCCCTGCGTTTTAAAAGATGACGGGAAACGTCTTTGAGGTACGAGAAGCAAGCTGGACGTTCTGGCTGAATCTGCATCGCATTTCGATATCTCTCACTATGTGGGGTTCGGGGCTGTACTTGGTTTTTCGTTGGCGGATTCTTCAAAATGGCCATTTCGCCTGGACACCCTCACGAAACGGAGATGTTGGAGGCTATCGTTTAAGACGATGTCTGCTGAGACATTTCGAACAAATGATATGGTGGTATAGCTGTCTGTTTTAGTATTGCGAAGGCCTTACGGCTGGTGCCGCCGACCCTGAAGACAGCGATCTGTCAGTGAGGGGAAACAACCAGAGGCTGGTGGTGGCGGTGTGGGCAAGACCAGACCCAGGTCTCCAAGGTCTTTTTGGGTCTCTACCTCTGCGAACCTCTGTCTCGTGGCTCATGTTTGGACCATTCGTCGGGTGCAGACAGGCCAGGTGAACCTCCGGAGCGCCTAAGGTGCGGCAAAGAAGGCGTCAGGCGAGGCGAAGTGCAATGATTTTCGCATGCCATTTAGGTGGGTTGGGCCTGTCGAACCACGGCCTCAGAACGAGTAGGTGTCCAAGACACTGAGGCCGCAGTTTCGCGGGGTCAGGGTCCTGGGGTCCTGGGGGTCCTGGAGTCCTGGAAGGCTGCCGAGCTTCGGGATCCCAGGGGCTCCGTTCGGTTCGGTTTGGCCTGTTCAGTTCCGCCAGTTCGGTTCGGCCAATGCGGTTCGCCTGGTTGGCCGGTTCGGTTCCGCCGGTTCGGTTCGGCCGGTTCGGTTCGCGGGCCGGTTCGGTGAGGAGGGGCAGAATGAGGAGGAGGATACGGGAGGAGGATGCGGGGAAACGAATCGGAGGAAGGTGTGGAATACGGGGTAGGAAGGGGGAGGAATAGGGAGAAGGAAGAGGAAGGAGGAGGAGGCCGAAGACCGTATAGATTCTTGGATACATCACCAGGCATGATTGCGCAACTCAGGCTCAGCGCCGAGCAGTTCCTAAGCGGAGGGGGAGGCAACCGAGGAACCAGAGGAGGGGGAGGAGGAGGAGATGGAATGGAATGGAATGGAATGGAATGGAATGGAACGGATCAATCGCGAAGCGAATCACACAAGACGCTGGCCTTCTCCGAGCCCGCGGCGAAAAGGAAGGACTCGACGACGAACTCCGGATGTGCCAGCGCTGACCAGCATTCACACTGAACGTTTTGAATACCACAACTCCACCTTCTTAGGCGATGCATCGTGGCACCGCACACGCAACATCTGAACTAACCAACGCCGATCTTGGCCCAGTCAATCAGCGGTCCAGTGGGGACAGCTGCCCGTTCGGCCGTCGGCGGCCGCAGAACATCGGCATCACGAAGGAGGAGCGCACGTCCTTCCTGCCAGCGTCGGGCGGCATCGACACGGCGGGCTCGACACGGGAGAGGGCGCCTCGATGGCCCAACCGGCGCCCAGCTCTGCATCTGAGCCTCCACCTCGAGGATGTGCTGGGCTTCCTCCTCGAGGATGGTACTCGTGCAGCTGGGTCTCCCAGGCGAGGTCGCTGTCGAGCCAGGCTCAACGGCTTCGTCCGCCCAGCCGCCCTCCGCGCCAGCGCCCGCCGCCTGCGGTCGGCCAGCCGCCTGGGCAGTCACCCCCCGAAGGGGCCCTCCAGCCGAACCGCTGCTGCCACGCGTCTCCACCAGTTCGCCGTCGGTGGCCTGAATGCCGATGAAGCCGCCGGGTACGAAAACCGCTGCGTCGGCCCTGAGCACCGTGGGCCGCGTTGTGGCCCGAGGCGTCCCCGTGCCACGCGGCACCCCAGCAAGCATCCCCCCGCCGCCGATGGCCGCCGTCGCCTCGGCAGCGCCAAGCGTCACCCCCGCGGGGCTCGCCGCGGCGCTGCACGTGGTGCCACCCGCAGGGCCTCCACGGGCGACGGCCTCGGCAGCGGCGAATAGCGGATCACTCACGATCACCCACATCTTGAAAAAGCGGTTCATGCCGCGCTCGGTCTTTTTCGCGCTTGACTAAGCGGCCCAATTGCATCCAGCCACTCGGCAGTACCATACACTGGTCTACTGCGCGAAGGGCATCGCCAAGCCTGTGGTGGTGATGTCCGAGATGGCCGTCGATAGTGTGGTGCAGCACGAGCGCTCTGCCCAATGCCACCAGCCGATCCGTGAGCACCTCCAGGAGGGCGCCGTCTGGAGCGATGGTGTCGAGCGCAGCGTTGACCGAGTCGTCCACGAGCTGGATCGTGGCAGCCTGAGCCTGCTCCTTGCGAAGTCGGCGACCGAGATTTGCAGCTGACTTCCGAGCCCATTGTTTACCCAATGATTCTGACACATGACGAGGCGCACACCCTCGCTGGCCTCCCGTAGCCATTCCCAAGCAGATCAAGCCCTTGCAGCGCCAAACTCCGGCCCGGCAATGCGCGGGGGAAATGGCGACCAGGCGGCTTGAGGCCGGCTTGAGCCAAAATGGCTACGGAGGAGGAGGAGGAGGAGGAGGAGGAGGAGGTGGAGGAGGGGGCCGTTGTGGGGTCTCTTGGGGCATCTGTTGGGCCTCTTGGGGGCTTCTTGGGGCCTCTTGGGGGCCTCTTCGGGGTCTCCTGGGGCCTCTTGGGGGCCTCTTGGGGCCTCCAGGGAGCTTCTTGGGGCGGAAGGCTCGGATTCTTGGTTCGGGCTCCCCGTCTTGGGCCCCTCTTGGGGCCCTCTTAGGCTGTCTTGATAGCCTCTGGGGCCGTCTTGGCGCCTTCTTGGGCCGTTTCGGCCGCCTCTTGGGAGCCTCTAGAGCCGTGTTGGGGCCTTCTTGGAGGCCCCTTGGACTGTCGTCAACGCCGTGGAGGCCGAATAGTCGTATAGGCCAAAAGTGTACGCTTTCCGATGGGCAATACATGATTTGGGCCTCTCGGGAACGTCCTTGGGAGACTGGGCTACCTGGAGCCATCTCGGAAGCGTTCTTGGAAGCCTCCGTGGCTACTTGGAGATGTCTTGGCGCGATCTTCGAGCCTCTAATAGGCTTCTTGGGAGCGATCTGGAGCCATCGAGGGCTACATGAGCGATCTTGGAGGTCATCTTCAGGGGGGGGAGGGCTGCGTATCTGACCCGGGACCTCCCCCGGGTGCTCCCCCGGGTCATCTCTCGGGTCCTTCCCCGGGACCCCCCCCCCCGCGCCGGGGAAGGGATCAAAGGGAAGGGGCTTCGACCCAATGACGACGTTGCTCAATTTCGGTTTGGACCGAAACGCTTGAGAAGGAGGCCCCAGAAAAGGAGAAGACGCTATGGGACAAGGGAAAGGACGAGGACGACGACGAAGAGGAGGCAGACGGAGAAGCCTCTTCAACACGCCGACAGCGTCGGCGGATTATTCTAACGCTTCTTCTTCTTCTTCTTCTTCTTCTTCTCATTCCTGCAATCGGTGCGTTTTTCCTCAACGCTTGCCCCCTGGGGGCCGTTTTCGGGCGGCCCTGGGGGCGGAAGAAATGGATCGTGGGGGCGAGACTCGATCGATTGTGCCCTCTGGAGACGGGGCCGGGCCAGGACGCCCGGCGACCCGCGGCCTGAGGAACCTGCGTCGTCGGATGTCTGGGCCCCTCGCCACCTCCCGCTGCGCCCGCCTCGTCTCTTTCCCTGCCCGTGGGGGCCCCGCGGCTGGCCGATCCATGGCACTCCGCGTGCACAGCCGCGGAGCAGCGGGTGGCGCGAGGCGCGGGCAGCAGGCACACGCTTCCCTGGCAGGTGGAGGGTCGGAGCTGTCTCAGCGAGCGAAGAACGGTATACAAAAATCTTTTTCGTTGTCGGGGGCGCCTGTCCCTGGGCGGCTGGAAAGTTTATATCCCTACGGTGTTATTGTAAGGGTATAAACTTTTTGATCGTCGCCCAGGGACAGGCGCCCCCGACAGCGAAAACGTTTATTTTATACCGTTCTTCGCCCGTTAACTGTCCAGGGGTTCGAGGCGGCCCAGCGCTGGCTGCGGCCAGCAGGAGCGGTGGGCAGGGTCGACCATCGAGGACAAAAGAACGCCTGACCCTAAGAACACGATGGAGACGTGACCTCACTGAGGCGCCCATCGTGCACTAGGTGCAATAGTTCTGGGCGGCGTAGCTTGATGCATCTGCAGAAAGACCCCCTGCCCTCCTAACTCAGGTCCCCTCCCAACTGGTTGGGGCTCCTTTTATTGCTAATCATTCGAGGTTCTGGGTCCAGAAAAGTGCTTTGCCTTTTTCGGTCTCCAGCGGCCCTGCATCCCGGGTGAAAAAGTGCACCATATTGGCCCCAGGAGAGGTTTGGGGACGGTTCTTGAACGGATTTGGCTTCACCTCCCCCCTCCTCTTGAAATATTGCTGAGTTCCCGCCCAGTTCAGACCCCCTGGCCGTCTCCAAGTGGAGAGCCACACCGGGGATTTTCTGAACGAGCGTGTTGATCATCTGCTCGGTTGTGGTGCCTGTGGCCTGGCTGGTTCACAGCGCTGGGGAAGCTTTGGAGGACACGCAGCCCCTGCCCTCGGGGAACAAAGAATAACACACGTAAACATGAACATTTCGGAGATCTGCGCGGACTTCTCGGATCGGCGCTGGAGCCCCCTCCCTGGCGCAAGCGCGCGGGGGGTGGCGCCGGAGGCGCCGCCAGGGGGGTCCAGCGCCGACTCGAAAGCTGATGTTTACAGTTTGCCCGGATTAGTAGAGTAGGTCGACCCTGCCAGCTCAAGAGTACCCCTTGTGTCCTGTGCCTCGCGACACGTGCCTACTTACACTCCTATGGCGATGTGGCCCTCGGAAGGGTCTTGTGTCCTCTCGCGTGTCCTGTCCAATCAAGGCCGACTGTCTTTCCTTGTGAGTTGCCCCATGCTCATCTTCCCGTCAGGCTAATCTGTTTGATACTACTTGCTGCTTTGGCAGCCCCGGCAGCACGACGCTGCCTCGACGTCGAGCTTTGGCCGTGTCCTCGCATGGGCGCGTCGCTCGGCCGCCGCCGCACGAGCAGCGCGTGGCCGCGCCCCCTCGTGCGCCGGCGGAGTAGCCTTAAGTCGGGCGTGCCCCTCTACAGGAGGGATTTTCAAACATAATCAACAAAATAGTCTGGGCACGATGTTTTGAGATTTTGTTTGGAATGTTTTGAACCTTATGTGGCTATTTCGAATTTTTCGTCCACTGTCCACCTGTAGGAGGACATGCCCGATCTAAGAGTAGCTGGTTGAGGGGGACCGGCCTCCTCCGGCGGGATCTTGTCGATTGGCACGTGCGCGACGCAGAAAAATGGAGTCGACTGCAAGGACTTTCGCGCTTAAGCTGCCCGCGTAGGGTCGCGCGCAAGCCCCCCTGTTTCCACGCGGTGTGCCGCGCATGCGGCCCGCGCAAGCCGCGGCGCAAGGTCGCAGTGTCTTCTCGCAAAGACCAATGTCTTCGTGCCGTTCGTATCGGTTGCCACATCTTTGTCGAGGCGTTTGCCCTCTCCCGGATAAGAGCACCTGCGTAAACATGAGCGTCAGGAGGTCCGCGCGGATTTCTTGGATGAGCGCTGCAGCCCCCTGGCGCCGCCCCTGTCGCCGCCGCCCGTGCCGCTCTTGGATAGGCATCCAGCGCCGCCCCCAGCACGCTCCGCGCGCCAGGGAGGTGGAGGCAGCGCCGATCCAAGAAATCAGTGCGGACCTCCGATAGTTTATCATTATTCCTTATTCCAATGTATTATTCTCCTGTTCTCGTTGGTTTGTGCATCATCCCTCTCCAGGGCTGCGTTGTGACCGAGGTGTCGAGCGGAGCCCAACCGTGGCGACGAGAAGGCTGCCGGATGTAGACAAGGACAGGCAAACAGTTGAAAACTACAGACCTCGAGCCTCCTCCTGCTCTGCGATCCTCCTCGTTCCTCCTCCTCCTCCTCCTCCTCCTCCTCCTCCTCCTCCTCGCCCAACGTCGGTGCGGCCCCGGCCCCGCCGATTTCGGCAAGTCTCCTTGCGGTGATCTGCGCGCGAGGGCGCCGAAGGCGTAGGCCCATCGCTGACCCCGCCGCACCTCCCGCTTTCACGGCTCCTCCGCGGTGGTGCGGGTGCGCCCCACAGCCCCGACGGACGAATTCCAATTGAGCGACGAAAGAACACGGGGTCGTCTTTACCGGCATTGGCGCGTAAGCTGCCCGCGTAAGGTCGCGCGTAAGCGCCCTCGTTCCCAATGTCTCGTGCCGCGCCAGGGGCCTGCATAAGCCGCCGCGTAAGGTCGCTACGTCACCTCGCGTAAGACCCGCTTTGGATCGTCGCTCAACTGCATGCCTGCCGACGCAGCCACCACGTTTCAGAGCAGGGCGAGTCGAGACAGCGGCAGTTGGCCTTCGGGAGGGGAGCCCTGGCCGCCACGGCTGGATGCAGCTCGGAAGGTGGGCGGGGCTCGGGGAAGGATTCTTGGCCGCCGCTGTCCCAAGTCGCCCTGCTCCAAACACCCATCAGAGGACAGCCGCGGTGCCCCGCAGGAAGGTTCGACTCGTTTGTGCAAGCCCCAGCCCGGATAAGATCGGATAACAGAGCAGCTCGCAGAGCCGCGAGCGCACCAGCGCGTATACGCCTGGGCGTGGGCAGAGCTCCTCCCACGAGCCCACGTAGGGCTGTCTGGACTTCCTGGGTGCTTCCCAGGGGGCCAAACGCTGCCTGGAACCACCCCTCAAGCCTGGGATGTGCTGCCTGGCGGCTGCATCGGCGCTTCCAATGAGCCTAAGAGCGCTGCTCCGGAGCTGCTCGAGGAGCTGCCTTGGTGCTTCCCACCAGCCTAGGAAGCGCTGCCAAGGAACTGCCCAGGCGCTGCCCACGAGCCCCAGATGCTCAGGTCACGCTCAAGGCATGCCCACCAATGCCGAACCCCAATCATGACTGCTCAGGGTGATGTTAAGTAACAAGTTTCTGGCGTGGTGCAGCGAGTTCGCAGTGAACCAGCACAACCGCAAAACCAGATGCTAGCCAGAGAAGCTTACCACATGAAGGCCGACTGTCCAAGTTGGGTGATTGTGGTGCTTCACAGTGGAGCGCGCACTGGTTCGGATTGCGAGTATGGTGCCTGAGTCATGCAGCGATGTCTTGGCTAAGCGGCTCTTGTGAGGGACGTGGCACTTGCTCCGCTACCATTGTAAGGCACGAGGATGCCCGCAGTTCAAAACTGCGGCGTCCGGGGAACCGCCCATTCAGGCGTGAAAGGTAGGGATGGATCAAGCAGGCATGGACGTCACTGGCTCGAGCAGGGCGCGGAAGACCCATCATAGTGGGGGGTGTTGTGCAAAACAAGTTTAACCACACACGCAGCTAGCTCAGTACGGACCTGCTAGGGAAATCAAACGCCATCCAACAGATCGCCACGGCGCGCTACTACCCAGGCAGCACGCATCACTTGTTATTGCACTGGGGGGCGTTATGGAATTCGCCAGGTTTTCTCAAAAGCCTGGTGGGTCCGCCGTCGTCGCAGTCTCTTCAGGCACCTTTACCGTGTACGCGCTGAAAGGATCGTGAAGATGGCGAGCCGTAGCAAAATACTCAAGAGACGACCGAGAAGTTGGATACACATGACGCGGCTGACCTGGGCGAGAGTTGGATACACATGTGGCCAGATGTTTTTCCAGCGCTCGGCCGTTTCATGGCCATGTAGGCCGAGTTTCCGCCCATGTTCGCCATGAAGGACGGGAGCCTTGGGGAAAACGGACCCTGGTTTCTTTCTGCCAGGTTTCGGGCTCTCAGGGGCACTCCCCGGGCCACGGGACCATGCCAAAACGACTCAGGATGAAAAGTTGCTCCCGGGGGAAAGCACAGGGGTCCAGGACCCGCTTCCCTCAGGACCCGCTGTTTCTACGGCAACGCGTGTATTTCCAGTTTTCTGGTGGTGATCCCCTATGGGCCGCTGAACTCCTGGCTCCGTATGCCTATGAGGGCCATCGTCAGGGGAGTGGGGGATAGGCGCACAGGGGGATGCATCGCCGCCCAATCGCCCATCCATTGCAGATAAGGTGCCCGCTAGCCCATCCCGCCCAGAAACGCTCCGCTACGCGCCGAGGGTGGAGGGAAGGGGGAGGGCTTCCTCAGAAGCACCCCTGCTTCTTAGAAGGCGCGGGCCTGTTCTATAGATGTAGGGCCGCTGCTGTCTAAGAAGCAGCCTCCTTCTAATAATCCTTCTCCCCTTCCCCCACCCTCTTGCGCGCGCCGCCAGCTATCGTTCGACCTCAGCCCCGCGAGCGCGCCGCGCGAGAGAGGCTGAAGAGCTTCGGCCCGCTGGAGTGCCTCGTGTTCCTCGAGGGCCTGGCGCAGCTGAGCGAAGGCCTCCCCGAGGAGATGTGCCGGGGTTCGGCCGAAAGCGGTGTTGGGCCGTCTTTCACCCTTCCAGGACTCAGCAGCATGTACCACGCAGCAGAGGTCGAGGAGAGGTCCCTGTAGCATTCGGCGCCCGGCCGACGCAGCCTCTGCTTCAATTTGCGCGTGCAGTCAGGCATCACGCTCTCCTTCTCCCCCAAAGCGATGACATTGTTTGGGCCATCTCGTGGATAAGTATCGTCTCCCCTGCGCTGTCATCATGGGTTCACGCTGGGGCCCACCACTGGCCGACCACGACTTTGGATTTGTGCCACAGCGCTGTTTGGGCAAGCGGTCGGGCCGCGGAACGCATCAACACGAAAACGAAACGAGCTTGCAAAGCCATCCTGTGGCCCACCCCCGAGGAGATGCGCCGGGACGACGCGGAGACTGTGGCAGCGGTGGCCGGGCAGCTGGCCAGGCCCGGGGGAGGAGCGGAGGCGGCAGTGGCCGGCGACGGCGAGGCCGAGGGCCCTCGCCCTCGAGGGGCGAGCTTCTTTTGGCTCGAGGTTCGACCTCCCGGTGGCGTCTCGTCGCCACGGCAGGGCTCATTTCGGGAGTGCCGGCCAGAGCGCCTCCCGAGACGGCTTCGAAGCCAAGCTCGTCGGCCCTCGGGCCCAGGCCCCCTCGCGTGGCGAGAGGATGGACGAGGGAGTGCTTCCAGGCCGCTGCCCGCTTCCTCAGGCCCAGCCAAGCTCGTCGGCCTTCGAGCCCAGGCCCCCTCGCGTGGCGAGAGGATGGACGAGGGAGTGCTTCTGGGCCGCTGCCCGCTTCCTCAGGCCCAGGTCGGGCCGGGGGGGGGGGGGGCGCCGAAAACAGACGGCCTGGGACGAGAGGCCGCTCAGCGGAGGGGGAAGGCGCCGAGGCCCCCTGGGAGGCCCACGTTTTGAGAACAGCGCGCCGCCGGTCTAAAGGCCTCCCGGATGGGGTCCGAGCAGACTGGTTCGGAGGATCACGCCGCCTCGTCGATGCATCGCCCATGCGGCTCGATGTGGAGCCCGATTTTCTCAACGCCGACGGCGCCGATGCATCTCCGACGTCGTCGATGCATCGCCGACGCATCGGCGGTGCGGCGCGACCATGTGGCCCCATTCTCTCCGACCCCATGCAGGAGGCTTCCAGAGGAGGCGAGGTCCAGAAGAGGTGCATGTTCATCGGAGCGTGGCCCTGGAGCCTTCCTGGCAGCAGCGCCCCGCCTACCGAGGCCCCTGCCATGCACCCCGTGTCCGTGCTGAGCGCGCGCCTGGGGCTGCAGTGACGTCGCAGAGCAGCGATCGGTCGCCGGCAGACTGGAGGTCTAGGGGCACGCCTGTGGGAAGCGGGTTTCCTCCAAAGTTGCGATTCGGCATCTGTATGTTCCGGGACCTGCAGTGGCCTGGGACGGGACTTGCCGGAGGGCGGGGTTTTGTCCCATCGCATGTCTTGTAAATCTGCCGCGAGGTGTCCCTCGTCATTGTGTCACTGACGCGGGCTGGCCGCAGCGCGGATTCGGGCGAAGCTCCAGAGGTGGCACTCGGAGGACAGACACCGGCACGCCGTCATCTCCGGCAGCCTGCAGGAGCGCACGCCTGCTTTTGGCAAGGCCGCCGCGCGTACCACCCACTGCAGGCCGTGGGCGGCCCGACGCCGCCGCGGGTCCAGGCAGCAGGCTTCCCCACGCGCTTCAGTCGCTGGACCCGAGCGCGACGGTTCCAGGCCCACGCGAGGCGTCTTTCGGGGCTGCGCCTCGACCTGAGCACCTTCGGCAACCTCCACACCTTTCTGACTGCTGGTCAGTCCGCGCAGCCGCTCCAAGGACAGGCTGTGCCCTATCGCCCTCGCCATTAGCGGAGTGTCCACAGTCACCAACACGACGCGACGCCACGGACGATGTGTATTCGAGGTGGTGGTGGAGGCAATCACCCAAGCAGTACGAGAGGGGGCTAGAGGACACAGAACGGCTTTACTGACAATTCATGCTAGATGGACAGCGCCCTCAGAGGAAGCGGTGCTCCCCCCCTTGCCCTTGATGCCCTTCCACCCACGAGTCGAAGTGCTTCGGCGAGGATACCTGGAGGAGGGACTTCAGGGGGGCAGGTCGAGGAGGCGCGTGTCCCGTGGAGTCACTGGGCGCGCGGGGATCCGTTCGCCGTCTCCCGCGCCATGCCGCTGATGCACGGCAGCGATAGCGACGACGGCGCGTGCTACCCCTGCCACCACCGACACCTGCATCTAGGGGAACAAGAAGTGACAGAAACATAAAAACTCGGAGGTCCGCGCGGATTTCTGGGATCCGCGCTGGACCCCCCTCCCTGGCGCGCGGAGCGCGCCAGGGCGGCGCCGGAGGCGCCGCCGGGGGGCCCCAGCGCCGATCCGAGAAATCCGCGCGGACCTCAGAGTTTTTATGTTTATGTCACTTTTTGTTCCCCTCGTGCCACCTCTTCCAACACTCACGTGCGTCCGCTTCTCATCTTCCACCACCGTCGCCGCTACAAGAGAAGAGCCACACTCTGATGACGCCCTCTGTCGTGCGCAGGGAGTGCGACACCCGCCGTGAGCACGAGCGTGAGCCCTTCCTCCAATGCCGTCCCTGGCTCCCAGCAGGGCCCCGCACGACGACGCCCAGCACCACGAACATCTACGGTAGGTTTGCGTCGTGTCGACCAGCGGCGACCCCAGCGCGGACGTTCAAGGTTGAACGCCGCCGGCGACCCAGAATCGATCGATGTTGAACGATCGGACCTTGCGGCAATGGCCGATCGTTCAAGGTTGAACGATCCAGCGCGGTGTCAAAAACCAACGCTGGGGTCGGCACGACACGAACCTGCCGTACTTCACGATGACGCCCAACGCGGCCTGGCACATGCGACAGCGGATGGACAGGCACCGCCTATTTTGGACAGGTCCTTTCCACAGGTGGGCGTCCTGGACAGTACCCTTGCAGGTGCAAGCCAAAATCAGGAGGGACAAACAACACACAGACACAATGAATCGTCCACTCCCAGGAAAATATGGGTGAATATGGGAAGCGGGGGGGAAGACAAAAACATAGAAAATGCCGGAAAAGATGGGGAATCCTGATATTTGTGTGTATTTATCTGTGTGTCCCAGGGCCCCTTCACAAAAGGCGACTCCCGCACCGACCAGCTCACCGACCCCCGCGCCGACCAGCTCACCGACTCCCATGCCGACCGAGGAGGAGGAGGAGGAGGAGGAGGAGGAGGAGGAGGACAAGCAGGAGGAGGAGGAGGAGGAGGAGGAGGAGGGGGAGGAGGAGGAGGACCTGAGGAGGAGGAGGAGGAGGAGGAGGAGGAGGAGGAGGAGGAGGAGGTGGAGGCTCGCCAATTCCCTCGCCGGGGGCAGTGGCTGGGCCGTCTCGCGGGCCGTGGGCCTGTGCTGGGGGCGACCGCCGCCAGCGCAGGAGAGGATTCCCGCGCCGACCAGATCGCCGACTCCCGCAGCGACCAGCTCACCGACTCCAGCACCGACCAGCTCAACGACAACGACTCCCGCGCCGTCCAGCTCGCCGGCTGCCGCGCCGACCCACTCAGCGACCCCCGCACCGACCAATTCACCGACTACCGCAGCACACGGTGGGATGGGCGCGGCAGGCACGGACCGTCACATTTTCGCCAGCCGCCTCGACGCACCGTAGCGGCTCCATCTCACCACACATGGCGGAACAACTCGACACCACCACGCTCAACGCAACACATCCGACACCACCGCACTTGACGCAATACATCGACACCACCACACGCGCAGCACATGCACCATCACCGCCACAGCCTGTGCAGATTGCCGGGTTCCACCGCTTATGCAGACCATGCCACACCACCGATTCGACGCAACCACTCGACACCACCGCGCTCGGCGCAACAAGCCGATCCCACAGCACGCTACTCAACAACCCGACACCACCACATCCGCAACACATCGACACCACCATACTCGACGCAAGAAATTGACACCTTTTTCGGACTGGCTCCGACACCAGCTCCAACGCTTCGGGATGCGGCCGAGAGGAATGTAGAGGGAGACGTGCGTCAGTAAACGCTGTGTTGGGTGCGCCAGCCTATCCGCGATTTGAGCTGTATTATATAAGGTTGGGCTGGCATTCCCCAGAACTGGATCGACAGTAGCACGACGATGAGCAGCACGACGGACTTCAGCAGTATGACGATGTTCTGCACGATGTGGATTTATGCAGCGCTTTGATGAGCAGCATGCTTGAGTCGGGCACCACGCGTCTATCCAGCATAATAGAGTCGAGTACTTCCTCATTGGCGCGCAGCGCACCAGCTTCGATTCCAGCGCCGATCGCATAAGTGACTGTCGCTCCAAGGCTGGCGCCGCCACGAGCGGCAGTTATTGGATGCATGTTGGCTCCGACTCCGGCTCTGCCCTCTGACGCAACGCCCATCCCAACAGCCGCTCCTATCCCAGAACTGGCGCGTGCTTCGGCTCCAACCCCAGCTACCTTTCCGAATGCCGCCCCCAAGCCAGCTCCGACTGGCACGTCAGTGCCCAGGCCAGGCTCCACTCCAGCCCCGACCTCCCTTCCGACGCCAGGTCCGGGTCCGACACCAGCCACGGCCACAGTGTCAGATCGGACACCACCCTCGACTCATCCGAGGTCTGCTCCGTCTGCGACTCCGTCTCCGACTGGTGCTCCGCCCCACCTTTTGCGCCTTCACCTACCTCGACTCCAGCCCCGACGTCAGCTCCAACGCTTAGGGATGCGACCAGGTGGGATGTAGAGTGGGAGATGCATCAAGATATGTTTTTTGGAGCTGCCCATCCGCGATTTGAACACATCCGCTGCTTGGGCGTAACAGCCCATCCGCTACCCAGCTGCGGAGGATGGGCTGGCATCCCCCAGATCTGGATCACCAGCAGCACGACGATGAACAGCACGACGGACGTCAGCAGCACGACGAAGAGCAGCACGATGGGGGCTCCGGCAGCACTACGATGAGCAACACGACGGAGTCGGGAACCACGATCTCCCAGAGGTCATGTCCACTTTTGCTCCTCGCTCCCCACCTCCACCACCATCACCATCACCGCCACTTCTGCCACCATGTCCCGCTCCCGCTTCCAGTCCCACCTCCGAATCCACCATGCCGCCCTATTTGAGAGGGCTGGCCGAAGGCGAGGGAGGCGGACTCTTCCACCGCTGGCCCTCGTACCCGGATTGCCCACCCTCAGATTCGGCCGCTCGTGCGCACCTGCTGCCGTTTGGGGAGATGCCCTCAGAAGCCGCGTCGGGCAGTCTCCCCGCTGCCACGGCTGCGATGCTTGAGGTCGATCCTCCACTTTCGGCCGCCCGTGCAGCAGCGCACCCTCCACAACGATCCTTATCTCCACGGCAGCACCAGCCTCGTCAAGGAACACTTCCACCACGATGGTTACCAACAGCGTGGCACTGAGCAGCATGACGTGCACAAGCAGTACGGCGCTGAGCAGCACGAAGGGTGCCATCAACACAACGCGGAACTCCTCGACCGGACCCAGCAATTCAACGTTGTTACATTTCTCATCTTCGGCTCCAGAGGGACGGGCTGGCATCCCCCAGACTTGGATCACCAGCAGCACGACGATGAGCAGCACGAGTTCCTCCAGCAACATGACGATGTGCAGCACGACCTGGGCCGATTCTTGTTCCGCTCCCCTCCTGCTGCTACGCCTTTTCCGACTCCGGCTCCGACGCCAGCTCCAACGCTTGGGGATGCGACCGAGCGGGATGCTGAGGGAGGAGACGTGCGTGAAGATACATAACTAGGGGTGCACCGGCTCATCCGCGATTTGAGTTGTTCTGTATGAGGATGGGCTGGCATCGCCCAGATCTGGATCACCAGCAGCGCGACCATGAGCAGCACGGCGGACTCCAGCCGCATGACGATGTGCAGCACGACGTGGGCCGATTCGTCTTCCGCCCTCCTCTTGCTCGAAGGATTGCAAAAAAAAACAGGATTGCAAAAAAAAACAGGATTGCAAAAAAAACAGGGATTGCAAAAAAAACATGTTTTTTTTGCAATCCAGGGTTTTTTTGCAATCCTGGGTTTTTGTTGCACTCCTTTTTCCGGTCTCCGACTCCGGGCACGACGCCCTCGCCAAGCGTTTGGGGAGAGCGACGCACGGCGGCCAGCAGCACGACACTGGGTATACGGGCCCCGGCAGTTCGACGCCTGAGCAGCACGCCGGTCTCATGACGTTGCCCGCCACGACCATCCTGGGGGGAACAAAAGTCAAATATTTCTACTCTTGCTTAGTCCGATTTTCCATCCCTCCGCCAGGCCCGACGGGCGCGCTAGCTCCGAGGGGCTAGCTGGTCGAGTTCCTCGTTCAAAGTCAAATATGTCTACTCTTGCTTAGTCCGATTTTCCATCCCTCCGCCAGGCCCGGCGGGCGCGCTAGCTCCGAGGGGCTGGCTGGCCGAGCTCCTCGCTCCACGAGTGGCTGGTCGAGTTCCTCTGTCTCGAGCGTGTCCCGATGGCTTCCTGAGCGCCCTCGCGTCTTTTTACGCATTCTTTCTTTCCTCCCTCGTTCCTTCCCCTTCCTTCTTCCTCCTCCCGCCCCAGTTGCGGGCTTTGTTAGGTATGATGTTTTGTTGTACGCGTGGATGAGCCGGGCACTCCTGCCGGGCGGGCCGCTGTTACTCAGCGAGCCTCTAGCGCCCACCGGTCGGGGCTGCCTTTCTCTATTTTCATGTAACTTTTGTTGTTTCTTCTATCCTTCCCCCCTAGCCTCCCTCCTGTTCTCGTCGTTCGGCTTCTCGCTTCTGCCCGTGTGGGAAAAATTACGATCCCTGCCGGCGAAGCCCGGTATGTATACACCCGCGCGGGTTCTTTCGCTCCTCGTTCCTTACTCTCCTCCTCCTGCCCTTCGGTCTGATGCAGTGTTGGATTTCTGCGTTGGCCGCTCGGGCCATTCGGGGCTTGTCCACAACACCGCACCTATCAGGGTGATGCGAGTTTAAGGTGAATGTCCTTTCTTTATGCCTGTAGTTTCTCCTTCCCCCTCTCCTTCTTCCGTCTGCCTCCTCCTTCTCCTTCTCCTCCTCCTCCTCCTCCTCCTCCTCCTACTCTTCCCCCCTCCTCCATGAATGTGGTGACGTCTTCCCGGCCGACCACTTTGGACCTCTGCTAATTTGGAGTTTTACAGCGGTGCGAGCCCCTCTGTCCGCGCTCGTTGCCAGGGTGTGGCGTCGATTCTTCAGTGGGAGGGGCTATAGCCTCCTTGAGGGGAAGCGGATTTGATTTGCCGTCGGCTCGGGGGAGGTTGCGGTTGGCGTTTGCGGGAGGGTGGGGGGCAACATAGTTATAGTTGTATATATAAGTATGTATATACACACTTATCTGTGTGTACACACCTACGTATACATATGTGTGTCTGTCTGTCTGTCTGTCTGTCTGTCTGTCTGTCTGTCTGTCTGTCTGTCTGTCTGTCTGTCTGTCTGTCTGTCTGTCGGTCTGTCGGTCTGTCGGTCTGTCGGTCTGTCGGTCTGTCGGTCTGTCGGTCTGTCGGTCTGTCGGTCTGTCGGTCAGTCTGTCTGTCCGTCTGTCTGTCTGTGTGTCTGCGTGTCGGTGTGCCTGTGTGTCTGTGTGTCTGTGTGTCTGTGTGTCTGTGTGTCTGTGTGCTTCTGTGCTTATATGTACTTATGCATTATGATTGAATAACCATGTACTTATGCATGTACAGGGTACACAAGTCCCGTCCCACGGAGCCCATGGACCGTCTTCGTTAGGAGCCCCCGGGGGAAAGGAGGTGCAGGCCGTCATGATCATAGTTTTGATCATCATCGTTTTGATCAGCAGCAAAGTGGAAAAGGAAGCGGCTCGGCCCCCTCCAGGAGGTCGACATTGGCACAGAACTTACGGAACATCTGTGATTGCTCTTTTCTCGCTGAGGCCACCTTGGACGCTCTTACTTGCTGCCGGCGACCCCCCCCCTCTGGACCCAGAGGGAGGGGCTATGGGGAAGGGTGAGGCCTTCCCCGAGGGGGGGAAATCGAAGAGGACACGCTTTAAACCTCCACTGCCCAGAGGGCTGCTGGGCTTTTGGTGCAAGCTGCCCGAATTCGGGACCGGCATCGTGGCCGAAAATGTGATGTTACCGAAGCCCGAGTCTGACCTTAAAATAATTTTCATGGGCGATAACACAAATTGTATGACCGAGCACCTTGCACCCATATTGTCGGAAGAAAGAGTATACCGGGCGCCCCTTCGGCCAGGAGAGCCACTGCGATGGGGAGGGGGCGCATGCGACCCCGCAAGAGATTTCAAACAGCAGTGCCGTCACGGCTTCTGGAGATGACAGTTTGGGAAGTTCGAGACATGGTGCAGATTTCGACGGGCAGTTTTCAGGATGGTTGAAAAGAGTTTGAACGTTTGAGAGGAAGGAGGTCTTGGGCAGTCTTAGAGGGGTTCGACGAGGAGAGCCTGAAGTCAAACGAAGTCATTGAGGGAGAGCAGAGGTGATCTCACAGAGGTGTTCTCGACGTTGAGCTTGAGGACCTCCAGGGACCCTGAAATTGTTTTATTATAGCTGCAGGGCAGAGCTACATGCGAGAGGATGCCAAACATGTGGGGGTCAGGTCGATGCAGTCGCTGGCCGCGGGCGACATCGTTCGCGTTTTTTCGGCGCTGGTGCAGCTCGACCACTACGATCAGTTTCTGGTCCATGCCCGCCTGTGCGAGGCTCGGTCTCCAGGGGCGGAGGAAGAAGTCGCAAACGAGGGGCAGCAGCATATGATTGGAGCGGGCATTTGAGTTTGCCTTTTGTAGACCGCTGAGACAAGCCACTGATTGCCAGAAGGGTGCAGCGCCTGTGGCCTTCGCGACTGCCGAAGGCGGCAGCCATCCAGTCTGGACAGAGAGAGCCCAGGTGAAGTACTCGCAAGTGGATCTCGGGGAACACGAAGGGCACGCGAGCAATCGCCCCTCTCGAGTCCACGCCGTCCTCTCAGGCCACGTCTGGGTCCAGGTGGCTCCGCCGTTCCCGTCGTCTGCATGGTGGCGACGCGTGAGGTCAGCCTGGACTTCTGATGCCATGCCTCGTCGACAGCGTGGACCCACCAGGGGGATCCGGACCCCTGCCCCGTTGCTTTCTTTTCGTCCCGAGTTACAGTCGGGGCCCTGAAGAAGGAACCCTTTTCGTTGGGGAGGGGCTCCGTGTTTCTTGATTGTTTCGCAACTTATCTCAGGTTTTCCTCATGTTTTCGATGAAAAATCAAAGTTTAAACGATGGAAAAAAGGGGCCTCGTTCCTTATTTAGGGTTCCTTAGGTCAACGCCCCGACTGTATCGTCTTTGACGGGCCCAGAGCCCAGTGAGGGCCCCCAGAGGCCAGGAAAAGTGCCCGCAGCCTGCCGCCGTGATCCTTCCGTGCCGCGGCGGGGTCCTGTGGGTGTTGTGGCGCGGCCTCCGATCCCCAGACATCCGACGATACGTTTTTTTTCATGCAACGCAGCACGGAGGAGGGATGAGATCACCCCGCAGGGCGTGGGGGGAGACTGAACAAGGCGGTCCAACAAACACAAAGCAGCACTTAGGCCCGCAGACTGTCCTACACAGTTTTGACTCCAAAGGTGCGGAAGAGGAGGAGGAGGAGGAGGAGGAGGAGGAGGAGAAGATTGGGGGAGAGGCTGATACAAAAAAAACATCCGACGATACGTTTGTCCGAAACTTCCTGTGGTGTTGGGTCCTCGTTTCGGATCTGCAGCTCCGCGCCCCGCCTCCTTCTCCCCTATCCTTCTCCTCCTGCTCCTCCTTCTCCTCCCTCACCACCCACCAAACCACCCCAACCCAACCCGAAGGCTCAGATTTACCCTCGATTTCCAGTGGGGGGGGGGTCGGGAAACATAGAAAAAACGCGGGTGGAACCCTTACCCCCCCCAACCCGAAATTCGGGTCTTCGGGTTGGGTTGGGGTGGTCTGCTAGGTAGTCACTCCCTCCTCCCATCACTGCCTCTGGCCCTTGCATTTCGGCATGCCCCTCACATGTTTCGTGGCCCCACAGGGAGCTCCACCGAAGGCGGCAGTGGCACAACCCACGTGGCCTACCCGCATCCGATCCGGCACCCCTCTCACACGTTTCGTGGCCCCGGGGAGAGCTCTGTCGAAGGCCCTAGCGAGACAGTCCGCATGGCGGCTCCGCACCAATGTCGGCAAAACCCGTTCACGTTTCATGGGCCCCGTAGGGAGCTCCACCGAAGACCCCTCGCGCGTCGCGTACCCGCGCCCGATTCGGAACCCCTCTCACGCGTTTCGTGGCCTCATTGGGAGCTCCACCGAGGGCCCAGTCTGCATGGCGTACCCGCACCTGATTCGGCACACCCTTCACACAATGCGTGGCCCCGTGGGGAGATCCGCCGAAGGTCACAGTTTCACAGCCCGCATGGCGTACCCGCACCCGATTCGGCACACTCCTCATTCGCTTCGTGGCCCCATAGGGAGCTGCGCCGAAGGCCCCAGTGGCAAAGTCCGATTCGGCATACCGCTCACACATTCCGCGGCCCCATAAGGAGTTCCAAGAACCCTGCGGGACAGTCCACATGGCGTACCTGCAACCATTTCTGCACACCACTCACCCGTTTCGTGGCTCCATACGGAGCTCCACCGAAGGTTTCAGCGGCAAAGATCACATGGCATTCCCGCACCATCTCGTCACATCCCTCACACGCTTCGTGGCCCCTTAGGGAGCTGCACCAAGGGCCTCAGCGCCAGGGTTTGCATGGCTTGCCCGCTTCCGAGTCGGCACGCCGCTCGTTGCCCCATAGGACTTGCCCCTCACTAGTCCCACCTTCCTTCTGGCATTTGCGCCCGCATCTGGTTGGGTCCCAACCAGCTCGTGGTGTCGGGTCTTCGTTTTGACTCAGCAGCGCCCCGCGTTCCTGCTCACTCCTCTTCCTCCTCCCCCTGCCTCCTTCCCTCCCTGCCTCTGCCCTCCGCGTGCACGCTTCGGTGCACAACTCTCACGCTTCGTGGCCCCATAGGGAGCCCTGCCGAGGGCCCCAGCGGTGGTGTCCGCATGACCATCCCGCACCCACCTCGGCACAACCCTCACACGCTTCGTGGCCCCCATGGGGAGCTCCACCGAAGGCCCCAGCGGCAGGGTTTGCGTGGCTGCCCCGCACCGATCTCCGCACGCCCGTCACACGTTCCGTGGCCCCAGAGGGAGCTTCACTGAAGGCCCCTGCGGGACAGTCCACATGGCGTACCCGTACCAATGTCGACATACCTCTCTCACGCTTCGCGGCCCCCATGGGGGGCTTTCATCGCAGCCTCCGGCGGCAAAGACAACATGGCATTCTCGCACCCATCTGGGCACACCACTCGCACGCTCCGTGGCCCCATAGGGAGCTCCACCGAAGGCCCCAGCTGCAGGGTTTGCATGGCGGTCCCGTTCCCGCACACGCTACGTGGGCCTAGAGGCAGTTCCACCAGAGCCCCCAGCGGCAGGGTTTGCACGTCGGCCCCGCACCAATATCGACATACCCCCCACCCACATCGTGGCCCCCAATAGGGGGCTCCACCAGAGGCCTCAGCGAAAGGGTCCACAGGTCTGCCCCGCAGCCGTGTCGGCACACCTCTCACACGTTTCTTGGCCCCATGGGGAGCTCCACGGAAGGCCCCAACGGCAGGGTTTGCATGGCGGCCGCGCACCCGTTTCGACTCACCCCTGCCACGCTTCGTGGCTTCATAGCGACCTGCCCTTTCTTCGTCCCACCTCCCTTGCGGCACTCGCACGAGCAGATGGTTGGGTCCCTCGCCCGGATAATCCCATGCGCGGCCCGAGGGCCAAGTTTTCGTTGCGGATCCATTTTTGATAGTCGGGGCCCGAGGATGGCTCCTGGAGGCCGAAATCCAGAAAGGAACGCCGGGATTGAAAACCCATGTCGTCGGATGTCTGAGTCTCCCCGAGGGCGAGGGCGAGCGCGATTCTGGTGCAGCAGCCGCTGCAGCCACGTCGCGATCGCACCAGCGGTGCGCTCGCGAGCAGGGCAGGTCCGCTCTTCGCCGCTCAAGAGGCCCGCTGTGGTCGTCCTCCTCGGTGCAGCCCTGCCTGCCTGTCCGCCTGCGCCTTCCCCCTCGTTCCGCCTTCCATCCCTCCTTGAGACCCTGGCATTGCATTGTCTGTCACGCTGGGCATTCATTTCGGCCTGGTTGCGGGCCCCGGGACCCTCACATATCGATCTTGCTCGAACAATGCATCCCAGGTCTCCGGCGGTGTTTTTTCGCGATGTTGCGTTTCTCGGAAGTCTGATCTCAGGGCCCCTCCTTCTGCGCACTCCGACTGTAGCCTCTCTGCTTTTCCTCCTTCTCCCTCTCCTAGTTATGCTTCTTCCTCTTCCCTCTCTTCGGCTTTCTCCAGAGGCCTCCAGAGGCCCAACACACAGAGCGTGCCTACGCTCGAAGGCATGCGAACGATTGTGGAGTCCCTGAACACAACAATGTGAACTTCCCGCTTTGACTTCTGCCACCTTCCGCCGACAATTCCGCCGGCTGACTCGCCGTCGTTTCACCTTCGCCGCCTTCCGCCGCCCTTTTGTTCGCTGCCGCTGAAGGCGAGACGCGCTAACGGCGAGGCCAGCTCTTCTAGAGCCTCCAGGAGGGGGCCGGCCCGCGACGCTCCGAGGATGGCCCTTGGCCCCGAGAGGGCCCAATGTGCGACCTGAGAGGAGGAGAAGGAGGAGGAGGAGGAGGAGGAGGAGGAGGCACGGGGCCATAGAGGGGCAGCCGAGTCACGACGACCACTCTGACACAATATGGATCCAACGCCCCCAAAGGGGGCAAAGCGGAGGGCGAAAGCCCCATGAATGGAGGCCATACCTGAAGCCGTCGTGGACGACAAGGTAAGCCCAGAGCGCGACCCCGAAGGCGGTGGCGGGCGCGTCCGCGACGGGCCACTGGAACCAGCTGCCCTCCAGCATCGCGATGAGCCCCACGCCCACGAGGCGGGGGCCAGCAGCTCAACGAAGAGCCGCACGACGAGCAGCCTCCGCGCTGAACTCGGCCACGACGGAGGCGATGTGATCGAGGTCGGCGCCCGCCGCAGCAGCCGCCATCACCCTCGACTTCAGCGCCTCCTCCGAGAACTGCGCCTCGGGCAGCGGGGCATCAGCACCAGCAGCAGCCGCCGGCACCAGGGGGGCCGCCGCTTCCGCAGGCGGCGCAGCCGCCAGCTCCAGCGCGTCCATCTCCATGGCCAGCGGCGCCGAAGGAGCCGCACGCGCCCCATCCGCCCAGCTGTCGTCGAGGCTCGCGTCGGACGGCGGCCCAGCAGGCGCACCACGAGCTCCATCGCCGCGTCCGGCCAAAGCCGCCAGCGGGAGCGCGGCGGGCGCCGCGTCTCCCTGCCTAGCACCCGCAGCCGCACCAGCGGCACCACCGACTCCGACAGCAGCAGCAAGCGGCGCCGCCGCCGCCGCTCCGCCTTCGCTTCCGTCGTTGGCTTCGGCTTGTATTTCACGTCCTCGTCGACCTGCTCGGCAGCCGCCTGCCCGCGCGGCATGGCCACCGCAGCCGATGCCGCAGCGACCACCGCCGCGCGGGCGACAGCAGCGATGGTGCGCCGAGGAGCGCGGCCATCCACGGCGGCGCGGACGGCAGCAGCAACCAGCGCTGCGCCGTCGAGCGTCGGGAGGGCCCCTCTAGCCCGCACAGCGGCCATCTCGGCGGACGGCGGCGCGGGCATGCGATCGCTTGAGCCAAAATGGAGGAGGAGGAGGAGGAGGAGGAGGAGGAGGAGGAGGAGGAGGAGGAGGGGGGACCCACGCGCGCCAAGGCCATTCGCCCCTGCCTCGTCGGCTAGTGGAACCTGCCTCCCCCCCCTTCTTCCCCTCTCGGCCCCCCTCCTCCCATAGCCAGCATCCTGCACTTGAGAATCTCCTCGTCGTCGTCCGTCTCCCCACTCTTCGTCCTCCTCGCCCTCGTCCTCGTCTTCCTTGTCGTCGTCCTCCAACTCATCGTCGTTTCCGTCCTACCTTGAGACCCGACGTCACGAAAACACTGCAACATCGTAAGCATCTCGACTGCAGCCTTCGACCCCATCTTTTTGAAGCAATTCCATTTTTCGAGCCAGATCGATCCGTGAGGGTCCTAGGGCTCGAAGCAAGACCTACTCGTCGTGTCGACCGGCGGCGACCCCGCCGCCAGCCGTTCAAGGTGCGCCAACGTCGACCAAGAACCGGTCGATGTGAAACGATCTGACGCTTCGGAAACGGTCGATCGTTCAAGGTGGACCGACCCCCGCGATGTCAGGAGCCAACGCCGAAGTCGGCACGACACGAGCCGGCCGTATTTCTTCTCGTCGCCGTCGTCGTCGTCGTCGTCGTCGTCGTCGTCGTCGTCGTCGTCAGCGCCAGCGCTCGCGGGGAGGCCCTGGCGCAGAAGCTGAGCCAGGGGCAGCTGCGCGGGCCCCCGGCCTTCGCGAGGCTGGCGGAGCTCCTCCACTGCGCCCCCCTCGGCCAGCACCGGGCAGGCCTACATTGAAGTCGGGCGTGTCCCTCTACAAGGGGAATGAGTAGAGACAGTTACAAAAAGTCTGGGGACGATGTTTCGACCATTCTTGAGCATTTGTTATCTTTAGTTTTTCGTCCAAAATCTGTCTGCAGCAGGACATGCCCGACCTAAGCCTACAGTCAAAGCTGATCAACAGGCCGAGTAGCTTTCCAGGGGTACAGTGCCGTTTTTAATACATGCTCCGCGTGCGGATCATGTATTCAAAATGCAGGCGTTTGGCATTAAAAACAACGGTGAGCTCATGCATACATCTTTTCATACATTAGTCATGCATTAAAATCTTATATGGTTAAAAACCCTATGTATTAAAACTGCCCTGTACCCTTTCGTCCTTGCGTCTTCGGCCCGTCCTTGGCCGCGTCCGCTGTCCAGCCTCTCGGGGATGCCCTTAGGACTGGCGGCGTCTGCGGACTGCGCGGCGCGACGTCTCTGCAAGGAGTTAGGGTTGAGTCGGGCCTGTCCCTCTACAGGAGGAATATGTATTCAAAAATAATGAAAGAATAGTCTGGGGACGCTTTTTTGACCAGTCTTGAACATGTTTTAATTCTTTTTTATTATTGGTTCGTCCAAAATTCCCCTGTAGCGGGACAGGCCCGACTTAAAGTTATGGCGCCCTTGCGTCCTTGGAACTGGTCCCATGCGCCGAAAATTCAACCTGGGCGTCCAAGGGCCTTGCGTCCTCACCGCGCGTCCTCATTCTCAGTTGTGACCGCGCACGCAGGATGTTCGATCTCCGCTCGGCTTCGATGCTCGACCCTGAGATCCTGGCCTCGCATTTTGTCACGCCGGGCGATTTCGCCTTGTTTCGGGCACCGGGACCCTGACAGATCGATCCGGCTCGACAATGACAGCAGAAAGACGGGGCCTAGGGCTCCGGTCGTGATTTGTCAAGATGCTGCAGTGTTTTCGCGACGTCGGATCTCAAGTTTGGGGGACGAAGACAACAACGCTCAGGTGGAGGGCGACAAGACGGACGAGGGCGAGGAGGACGAACAGGACGACGATGAAGAGGAGGACAGGGAGGACGACGACTAGGAGGAGGATGTGTGCATGTTCACGTTTTCCTCATTGCATGGGCCTCTTGGGACCTCTGAAGGAAGCAGAAGAGGAGAGGGAGGCGGAGGCGGATGGCGAGGAGGGCGAGAAGGACAAGGAGAAGGACGAGGACGACGTGAAACCGGAGGACATGCGGGACGAGGGCGAGGAGGACGAGGGCGAGGAGGGCAAGGAGGACGAAGAGGACGAGGGCGAGGAGGAGGACGACGAGGAGGACGAGTGCGAGGAGGGCGAGGAGGACGAAGAGGACGGCCATGGATCGGAGGACAGGGTGGACGGGGTCCAGGACAGATGGCTCCGGTCGTGGGTTGTCGCGATGCTGCAATTTTCTCGCGGCGTGCAGTAGAGGCCCATGTCGAGAAGCGCCCTGCTTGCCTCCAGGGTGCCCTGGGTTTTTCCCTCCTCCTCCTCCTCCTTCTCCTCCTCCTCCTGCCGACCCAGCTCCCTGCAGTGACCACAGCTTTGATTCCCAAGCACAAGCCCTCAGGAGAGGGCCCCCCATTATGTAGAGGTATCGGAGCAATGCCCAGCACGTACCGAATGGGCACGAATAAGGCAAGAAGACGCGAGGATGTGGGAGCGCCAGCATCGCCGTCCTTTTCTCGCCCATCAGGCGGGCAGGTCGATACTCGAGCTGGTGTACCAACAGTCGCTCCAGTCGGAGAGCAGCACCGCGCAGGGTTTCTCCCTCCACACGGCCTCTATCATGTGGGGCCCAACTAGCTGTTACGAACATGTTTATCGAGCTAAACTACATCAGCGAGCCAGGAGCGGGCTTCAACGGAGCCATCCTGCCATCATCATTGACCAATATCAAAGCCAACGCATGATTACCTTAAATAATTATTCACTGCGTGGAGCTCCCCATATGTGCATCTACTCGCATGGACCTGTCCGCCGTGAATGTCTAGGCGCAAGAGCTTTCGAATATTAACGGGCTTCAGTTGTGACGGTCTGGACATCAATCTAACTGCGAATGAATTGGAGTGTGAATGAGCCTCAGTAGTACGAGCGCGTCTCTGTGCATGAGCCTGGGGCCTCCTGGGGCCTCCTGAAACCTACTGGGGCTTCCTGGGGTCTCCAGGAGCCTCTTGGGACCTCCTGGGACCTCCTAGGAAGGTTTCGTGCCCCAGGGGAGGCGCAATCTATAGCAACAGACGTACATAAAACATTGCGGATTAGAGCCACAGGAGAAGAGCAATCTATAGGAACACGCGTAAAACACGAAGGACTCGTGCCCCAGGAGAGGCACAATACATAGGAACATGAGTAAAACATTTAGGATTGTGTACACAGGAGAAGGACCATCTATAGAAACGTACGTAGAACATCAAAGAATCGTGCTCCAGACGAGGCCCAATCGATAGGAACATACGTAAAACACATGGGATTGGAGCCACTCCTGTTGCCTTCTGAGGCCTCCTGCTCCTGGGGCCTCTCGGGGCCTCCTGTTGCCTTCCGAGGCCTCCTGGCGCTTCCTGTTGTCTCCTGGGGTCTCCTGTGGTTTCCTGAGGCCTTCTGGAGCTTCCTGGGGCCTCCTGGAGCCTCTTGGGACATCCTGTGGCCTCTTGAGTCTTTCTGTGGCCTCCTGATGCCTCCTGGGACCTCATGTGGTCTCCTGGGGCCTCCTGGAGCCTGTTGGAGCCTCCTGTGGCATCCTGAGAAGAATCTGCGCCCACGAGCCTGGCCACCAAAACAAGCAAACCGATCGAGACATCCTCAAAATCTGGCCCACCTGGGGGGTGAAAATGAGCGCCTCGCTCGAGACATCCTCCAAATCTGCTCCGAAAGCGAAGGATGTTGGGCACAGAAACAAGCAAACCGCCTGAGACATCCCCACAAAATGGCCGCGAACGAGCCCGTGCAACCACCCCTGGCGGCTCCCCTTAGGGGTGCTGCTCGAGACATCCTCCAAATCTGCTCCGAAAGCGAAGGATGTTGGGCACAGAAACAGGCAAACCGCCTGAGACATCCCCACAAAATGGCCGCGAACGAGCCCGTGCAACCACCCCTGGCGGCTCCCCTTAGGGGTGCTGAAATGAGCGCCTCGCTCGAGACATCCTCCAAATCTGCTCCGAAAGCGAAGGATGTTGGGCACAGAAACAGGCAAACCGCCTGAGACATCCCCACAAAATGGCCGCGAACGAGCCCGTGCAACCACCCCTGGCGGCTCCCCTTAGGGGTGCTGAAATGAGCGCCTCGCTCGAGACATCCTCCAAATCTGCTCCGAAAGCGAAGGATGTTGGGCACAGAAACAGGCAAACCGCCTGAGACATCCCCACAAAATGGCCGCGAACGAGCCCGTGCAACCACCCCTGGCGGCTCCCCTTAGGGGTGCTGAAATGAGCGCCTCGCTCGAGACATCCTCCAAATCTGCTCCGAAAGCGAAGGATGTTGGGCACAGAAACAGGCAAACCGCCTGAAAATTTTTCACAAAATGGCCGCGAACGAGCCCGTGCAACCACCCCTGGCGGCTCCCCTTAGGGGTGCTGAAACCAGCGCTTGAGACATCCTCCAAATCTGATGTGTGTTGAGTAAGTCTGAGTATGAGTATGTCTGAGTATGAGTATGCCTGAGTATGAGTAAGTCTGTGTATGAGTAAGTCTGTGTATGAGTAAGTCTGAGTATGAGGAGGGGAGGAGGAGAGAGGAGGAGGAAGGAGGAGTAGGAGGCGTCCAAGTAATAACAAGAACCCCATCTTAGGATATGGGGAATCAGACCTGCCATGCAGGATACACCTCGAGTGAGATCCCAGCGGGCTGTAGTTTCGCCACGTTTTTTGTTCAGATGTATTGTCTGCAGCCTTTGGATCTATGGGCCTCAAAACTTGTCAGTACCATTACACATGTTCATAGATGACCTGCTCCTCCCCTGTGCCCACAAGTGCAAGGCCACCCTCATCGCGGAATTGAGGAGAGCGGCCGCCAGTCTTTTGTTCGCGATCCAGCACGACCTGGCGTGCGAGAAAGCGGTGACCAAGTCAGCGGTGTCAGCCTCGTATATAGATATTCAGAAGAGGCTCGCGAAGCAAGTGGGCAGGCACTCAGGATCCACCCCGTTTCATGCATCAAACCTAGGAATTGATTTTCGAGCCGGATAATCACGGGGTGTACAAGGTCAGCATCAGCAAGTTTCGGGAGAGATGCACCAAGCTAAAAGCCAGGATCCCCCGAACCAGAGCTGTTCACAGAACTGATGGGATTACTTCGAGCTGTATAACACTGGTTTTGGGCAAGCGCAGTGTTATGGAGCCGAGGTGGTTGGCCTAGATGATGTTGAACTTCGTTTATCTCGGAGGTTGTTTTTGAAGATAGCTGGCCCTGGGACTACCACTAGATCGTTTTTGCTTGCACCCTGCCTCCTCGGGGGCCCTTGCTGGCGCCCATGTGCGGGACCAGTTATATCGTGGTCTGCCCTGGTCTGGGGAGCCATGACAGGTGAGTCCGCCTCAGAATTCAAACGACCCAGGTCTTCGAGCGATGGCAGCTGCAGTGCTTTGAAGGCCCTCCACCGGGATGGGGCCAGTGCCGAGAACTTTTCGGTGCTGCGATTTGAAGTGCGGCCAGAGTCGGATGGACTTTCTCAGGACACTTCTCGATGTTCGACCTCGGGCCAGACTCACATCCTCACGAACACATTCCCCCCTGGCTCCTCCAGTTCTGGCTCCAAGAGGCTTGGATGCAGCGGCTGCGGGAGCAGGCGGCCATCAAGTTATGCCTGGACGGCCAGTTAGACGTCCCAGTGGCGATCGAGGTTTTGATTTCCAACCAGATTTCGGACTCTGGAAAGGTCGCCCTAAACCGTTCCTGTGCCAAGGTATTTGGGCCCAATCGTGCCTCGAAAAAGCAGGGCACCCTACGGAGCCCCAGTGCCAGTGTGGACATCGAGAAGATGGCCTTCATCATAGACTCGTGAGTTGCCTCGTGAGTTGCCCCTTATACAGCGCGGTTGAGAGAGAGAGAAAGAGAGAGAGAGAGAGAGAGACGAAGTGTTCTCCCAAAGCGAGCTGGACCAGCTCCAGGACCTGTTCAGGACCTGCCGCGCCTGTTATTTTTTCTCCTGATCGTCGTCCTCCCTTTCCCTCTCTTGCGCCCCGCCAGGAATGCGGTGGCCCGTTTAGCTTCTGGGGGCCGCGGGGCGCACGGGTTTGATCCGCCCTGTTGGTATGCGGCGCGGACCACGCGTTCGCGTTGGACTGGTCGCAGAGGTGGAGGGGGGGATGGGGGCGGGCTGGGCGCCGAGGGGGGGTAGGGGGACGTGGAAAGGAGAAGCCGAGGATAGTTCGGAATAAAAGCAGGAAGGGTATATGGAGGAGGGGTACTTTGAGAGGGGGGCGACTTGGGGTGGGGGCCCTCTAAGACGATCTCGGAGACCTCTTGGGGCACTCAGGGCTTGTTCGGGCACTTCTCACAGCCCCGGAACCTCCAGGGGAAGATGCGTATCTGACCCCCTCCCCGACGGGGGAGGGATCAAAGGGAAGAGGCTTCCTTCGATTAGACTGCGATATTGCTAGGTCTTTCTGTCGCTGACAGGCTTGGCCGATGTCACGGTCGGCGGATGTCGGCTAGGCCTTTCGAGGATTTTGCATTCTTGAAAGACACTAACGGAACCCGACCCGAACGGAAAAATCCTTCACACACGCCGACAGAGTCGGCGGATTTCTCCGCTTGGGCAGCGTTGCGCATAGTGTTCGGCTAGGACCTCGCGTGCCCGCGTCTGCTCCCATTCGCCCGCTCGCTAGCGCGACGGTGCCTGAGTTCTTCCTGTTGGCATGTGCTGTTGGGTAATCGCAGCATCAAAGAAGACCTTCTGCGTCCAGCCGCCAGCGAGGGCCGAACGGAACCTCGGCCAAGGCCCAGCGGGGCGGGGACAAGGGTACATCCGTCCCAGCGCGTTCCAGCCGCTGGGCCCCGGGGGTTCCCGATTCATCCTCACCCGACTCTGTCCTCGTCCCGGCTGCGTCTCAGCATCGGCCAAACTCTCAGCCTGCGCTGCCCGACGAGTCTGCCGGGCTCGCCCTCGCGACCCTCGAGGATTCCCGGGGCCCACCCTCGGTCCGCGATCCGCGAGGATCGAAGGTCGAGGCTCGAGGGTCGAACATCGGCCAAGGTCTCAGCCTGCTGCCGGCGCAGTCCCACAAGTCCGCCGAGCTCGCCCTCACCACCGCGGCGCTGCTGCGCGAGTGCGGGCCGCCGAGAGGGGGCCGCCCGGAGCCGCGGGCGCTGGCGCTGGTGGCCAGCGCGCTGGCGGAGCTGGGCCCGCGTCGCTGCTGCCGCCGCCGGCGTTCCCAGATTTCGAGCAACGGCGAAGCGTCCTGACTTGCCTAGAGGCACGCCGGAGAGTGTTCTTAGAACCTTGTGTGGTTTGCGCGGAATGTTCTTGGAACAGTGTTGGCTGAGACTGCATTGTTTCACACATCGGGTGTATGTTCTAGAATATTATTTTTGTTATGAGAACATTTCTGGGGCTCCAAGAAGATGTCGTGGTAGGCCTATAGGAAAGCCGGGACGGTCGGTCCATTCTCGAGACCTCTTTTTGATTTGTTGGCATCGCTTGGACGTGGGTAATTTTTCTCGGCGAGTTCATCGCGGGGCATCTGGAATCCTCTTGCGAAAAAACATGCACGCACGAAGTCGAAGGGTGCACGGGGAATGGGCGTCTGGGCGGTGGCGAGGTCTGTCGGGGAAGACAGCGAAATCAACCAACAAACAGTGAACATATGAAAGTCCACGCGGACCTCCGAGTTTTTCACATGTTCATGCCATTGCGTATTCCCCTAACTCGGGCAAGCTCCAAACCCGGATTCACGTTGCATCTTCGGGGGGCGCTGCGGACTCGGCGCGGATCAGGCGCGGGTCCGACGCGGATTCGACACGGATTCGACGCAGATTCGACGCGGATAGGGGGGCGACGGGACAGACAAAATCCCCCGAAGATGCAACACAACCAGATCTCCGATCCATCGCCAGAATATGTCCACGTCCACCGCTTCGGAGTCGCGTCCTGAGTTGTTGTGGAGCGGTGGATATGGATAACTATCTGCCCGCCCGAGTGGGCGGGCAGATATCCACATCCACCGCTCCTCGAGTCCTCGGACCACGACCCCGCGGCAGTGGATGTGGTCCTGCTCCGGCGGCGCCCTCCGACGATACGATTTTTGTTCGTCCGCCGGGGGGTGCTTCCCCGACCCCGGCCCTCGGGGGCCCTCTGCTCGGGGCCTGCAGGGCCATCGAGCAGAGAGAAGGGGACTCTGGGGCGAAGAGCTGCCTCCGGGTCGGGCCCCGCCCTCGCCGATCCACGAGGCAGGCAGCTCGATGGGCGGCAGGGGCTGGGCGTCCCAGCGGGGGTCCAGGCAGGCGGGGCTCGAGGATCGCGCCGCATCGTCGATGCATCGGCGACGCGGCTCGATGCAGAGCCCGATTTTCTCCACGCCGGCGTCGCTGATGCGGCGATGTGGTGCGATCCTCCGACCCCATTGGCTCCGACCCCATTTAGGAGGCCTCTACAAGGGTGGGGATCGGAATTCGTCGAACACGTGTCGAAATCCGAGCCCTTCCCCCGTCTCAAGTCGAGTCAGGAGAATCCGTGGCTGGTGGGGTTAGGGCGGGGATGCCGCCACCTAACTGGGGCCGTGGCTTGACAAAATCACATCGGCGGATGTCTGGGAACCCAGGTTCTTGGCCCGTTCTCGGCCTCTGGGTGCACTCGCCAGGCCCGGGGGACCGGGGTAAGGATGGCTCATATCGACTTTTCCGACCCGATTCGATTCGATGTCCATCGATTCCGATGCTGATTCCGAGTCGAATTCGGATTTGGCTTTGGATTTCGGTTTCTCGTTGGAGGACTTCCTAGCCTGCCGATTTCCGCCGATTCGACTTCTCCCGACTTGGCTAATTACCGATTTCTGCCGATCCGAGTCATTCCGATCGCCGACCCGACTGACTCATCGAGGCACTCCTGGGCGGAAGGGTCCGGACTTCGGGTGCCCCGTGATGAACAAATCAAGGCCTCGGATGTCTGAATGCGCGGGCTGATGCTGCCGCGTGCGTCTTCTTCTTCTTGTTAGTATTATTATTATTATTATTATTATTATTATTATTATTATTATTATTATTGTTATTGCTATTGTTGTTATTATTATTATTGCGCTTGTCTGCGCGGAGGAGCGACCCTTTTCCAGAGTGACCTTTGGCGCGGGCCTACTGGGGTCCCCCGATCTGCGAATGCGATGCGATGGCAGCGCCTTGTACGCGCTTGGCCTTCCCCGCCCCGGCCCACCTGAAGCCGCGCACCACGGGTCACTCTTGGCCGGGGTCACTCTCGCGTGAGCCGGCCCAGACCTCCCAGACATCCGTCGCCCTGGACGAAAAAGGACGAGGCGACCCGCGGGAGGACGCACCGGCCCTATACGGAAGTGGGGAGGGGTCGGGGGGCCACGTCACGAAAAAAAGTGTAACGTTTGACCGTCGTCGCCGGAGGAGGAGGAGGAGGAGGAGGACGAGGAGGAGGAGGAGGAGGAGGAGGAGGAGGACGAGGAGCAGCAGGAGAAGGAGATGGTCCTGCTGCCTTCTCCTCGCCAGTCGGGTGGGGGAGGGGGTGTTCAAAAATATGGAGCAGGGAGATCAATCCATCCCTGACTAGGGAAAGAAGGGTTTGGGAGAGGGAAGAGAGGTATGTTATACCGCCTCCGCACAGCAGCCTGGTGGGCTTCCGACCTCAACGCGCCGCATGGCAGGCTCGGGGTTTGATCTTGAGGGCCTATCCCCGGACGTTCCATTCCCCAGGGCAGTGAAAGAACGGCCCATGATGAACACGGGTCAAGAGCTCCAGGGATTCCACGTGACGCAAGAGTAATTAGCACACCGGAGTTGCGCATAAGAGTGAGAGGGCGGCGAGGACGTCTTCAGTCTGCGAGGCTCTGAAGAAGCCCGCCGCAGGCGCCTAACTTTTACAAATTATGCATTGAGCCCGCCGCAGGTGCCGATTTTTTCGTTACAGCAATGTGGGTGGATCGCGGGATGGGTCGCGGGTGGGTCGCGGGTGGGTCGCGGGCCGGGTCGCGGGTGGGTCGCGGGTGGGTCGCGTGTGGGTCGCGGGTGGGTCGCGGGTGGGTCGCGGGGTGGGCCGCGGGCTGGGTCGTCGCGGGTGTTCGCGGGGTCGCGGTCGCGGGGTGGGTCGCGGGGTGGGTCGCGGGGTGGGTCGCGGGCTGGGTCACGCGGGGTGGGTCGCGGGCTGGGTCACGGGCTGGGTCGCGGGGTGGGTCGCAGGATGGTCGCAGGTGGGTCGCGGGCGGGTCACGGGGTGGGTCGCGGACTGGGTCGCGGGGTGGGTCGCGGGGTGGGTCGCAGCAACAACAACAACAACAACAGCAGCAACAACAACGCAACAAGCAGAGTCCTCACCACGGATCCCCACTAGAGCCGCGCACCCAGGGACAATGAATGGCCGTTCGGTCCCCTCACTCCTGATAACAAGCAAGATGCACATAGATATCACACAGGTATTCATGTTCGCAGGTCCGCGCGGATTTCTTGGACCTGCGCTGGAGCCGCCTTCCTGGCGCGCGGAGCGCGCCAGGTACGGCGCGGGAGGCGCCATGGGGGCCCCAGCGCCGACCCAAGAAGTCCGCGCGGACCTCGGGAAGCTTGTGCTAATGCACTGGTCGCTCCTCTTAACCTGCGAGGCCTGGGGAGTCGAGGCCTGTCTGGACCCAGCGCGTTCTCCAGGGGCTGCCTCGAGCTCGTCGGCGGGCTGGCGCAAGTCTTGGGGCCTCTTCGGGCCCTGCAGGTCCTCCGACCACCTGGGGCGTTCCGGCATGGGCCTCGCCTTCGGCGCGCCTTGCCTATTGGCGGAGGAGGAGGAGGAGGAGAAGGAGGAGGAGGAGGAGGAGGAGCAGGAGGAGGAGGAGGAGGAAGACGAGGAGGAGGAGGAGGAGGAGGAGGAGGAGGAGGAGGAGGAGGAGGAGGAGTCCTTGTGGGCTCTCGCACCGGTGGCAGGTCCGGTTGCGCCGCGATTGCGCCAGGCTTTCGGCCAGCCCGTCACGAAACCTCCAGGGCCTGGCGCAGCAGGGGGGTACACGGAGGCGGGCTCGCCAGCGGAAGCCGGAGGCTGCCGCGGGCGGCAGCCAGCAGGCGGTCGGCGGAAGGCGGCGGAAGTCAGAGTGAGGCGTCACCACTGTTGGGCGTAGGGTTTTTGGAGTCGGTTTTGTCATCAGATTCTTTGTGGGTCCCCAGGGTCGGGAGAGAAAAAGCACACCGGGAAACGTCATGGTTCATGAAACACATGGCGCGGCCGGCCTGAGCAAGAGTTGGATGCACATGTGGCCAGGTGTCATTTCAGCGCTCGGCACTTCTATGGCCAGGCGCGGTGATCCCCCACATGTGTATACGGCCATTGGCATATCTATAGATATATATATATATACATATATATATATATATATATATTACACGCGAGTTCAGCCACGTGCTTTTCCTGTTTCCTGGTGGCCCCGGATACGTAACTACTCTAGGTCCGAGGCACCCGACGAAACTGAACATCGACGAAGAATGTGACCCAGCACTGCTCACAGCAAGATCTTTCACCCGATTTAAACGATGTGCACCACCGCCAGGCATCCACAGGCTCGACCACGGGCCAGGTACTTCAGAGCCCCGAATCATCAGGGGTAACTCGGGTCAGGGTTTACTCGGGTTCCTTTTTCGGGATTCCGAACCCGAGTTATCCCGGACCCGAGTTACCCCGGATAATTCGGGCGTCCAGAGCCCCCAAATCATCAGGGGTAACTCGGGTCAGGGCTAACTCGGGTTCGTTTTTCGGGAACCCAAACCCGAGTTACCCCTGACCCGAGTTACCCCTGACAACTCGGGCGTCCAAGTACTGGTGCACATTTCCTCTTGGCCTGGCCGGGTGCGGAGACACAGCCGAGACGCGGAAGCACGGACCACCGGGCTCGGGAGGGGCTCTGGTCTTCGGGCCGCTCCTCGGCCTCGTGCCACGGGGCCTCGTGCTGTGTTGCCGAGAGGCTCGCCGTGGCCAGAGGTGCCCAACTCGTTCCCTAGTCGGCGCTTCCTCTGGCAGCAGGACGGCTGCAGGCCCCGACAGCTCCCGATCCGATCTTTTGTTCCATCCGCGGCCCCGTCCCGGATCCCCTTCCTGGCTGTCCTGCATGGGGCCCGAAAGCGGGCCTTGGAGACCGACATGGAGGGCGAGGCTGCCGGATGGAAGACATCACGTCGTCGGAGATCTGACTGCCCGGTTCGTTCCATCTTCGGTGCCCCATCTGGCAGCACGATGACTCCATGTCCTGAGATCCGACGTCGCGAAAAGTTGCAACCTCGTGAAGTACAACTGCCAGAGCCCAAGACATCATCGTTCTGAAGCGTTTCCCGAGCCGGATGGATCTGTGAGGGCCTCAGGGCCCGAAACAAAGCAAAACGCCTTGAGTGAACAAAATTGCAACGCCCGAATCTCAGGATGCTTTCTTTTCCCTTTACCTGAAGGGCCTGCGGCGGCCGTTCGGGTCGATCTGGGCACCCCAGCACCCCAGGAAAGCCCTTGGCGAGGCGCAGCCGCTGGAAGTCGTCCCGAGGCTGGAACACCTCCTAGAGCCAACGCAAACGCCCGAGAATCGTCGGCGTTCTGGTTTTTGTCCCCTTTCCCTGTGGGGGCGACGCCCCCCGAAACTCCTCCTCCTCCTCCTCCTCCTTCTCCTCCTCCTTCCCCTCCTTCTCCTCCTCCTCTTCTTCCTCCTCCTCCTCCTCCTTCCCCTCCTCCTCCTCGTCCTCCTCCTCCTCCTCCTCTTCCTCCTCTTCCTCCTCCTCCTAGGCCAGCAGGACCAGGACCTGCTGGAGATGCTGGGCGGCGCGGTGCTGCCGAGGCCCTCGGCAGGCCTGGGGGGGGGGGCAGCGGCAAGGGGCGACTTAGCGCAGACAAAGGGCCCCTCGCCTTCGGGCGCCGAGTGGTCGGCATCTCGAGAGGGGCCCCTGCAGGCCTCCCGTGTGGGGGGAGGAAGCTCGAGGCGATCGAACGGATCTGCTTGGAGCTCCGGCAGTTCATGTTTATGCAGTTTTGTTTTCTCTGTTGGTGCCATCCTCCAGTCGGAGCTGATCTGTGATTCTGGGAGATGCTCCCGTAGACGCGCTAGCGGCAAATGTAGGTGACGGCGATGTAGGCTTCGGCATTGTAGGTGGGACTGGTTCGAGGCCAAACCAATTGTAGAACATCGTGGCTCGTGTTTTCCTACACGTCGCTGCGTCGTTCTCGCTCGATACATTCGCACATTTGAACTATGGGAAAGTGTGGTTTGTGATTTCCTACAATTTGTTCTGCGCGAGCTCGGTGTCACAAACATTAGATCCCCAACATCGCCGTTAACCAACATCGCCGTTAGCGCGGCCTTGGTACTCTCCTGGGCGGACATGATGGGTGGGTGTGTATGCTTATGGGTGAATGCTCATGTGTGCACACCCAATGGGGGGCTCAAACGGTTTACGCATGTTGTGTTTGTCTTTGTTTCGGTTTCCTCCCTCCTCGAAGTCTTGCTGTCACTTCGTTGGCCGCGCTGCGTGGTCCCAGCTGTGACTGCTTAATTTGCCACTGAGTTGCTTCCCATCGTGTTTAGGCGAGTTGCAGTTCGCGTGACTCGTGGCTCTCGTTGGTCCATGAACCGCGCGATTGGGATAGCCCTCCTCAGGTGCAGCTGATTTCTCGATCTGCCTTTCCTGATTGTTCTCGCGTAGAAAGAACAAGCAGGTGGTGTTGCGTTCGGGAGCGTGCCGTCGGGCGGGAGTGTCAGGGTGGTCTCGGCTACGGTAGGTCCGCGTCCTGTCGACCGGCGGCGACCCCGCCGCCAGCGTTTAACGATTAACGCCGCCGGCGAATCGGCCGATGTTGAGCCATCTGACGTTTCGGACCCGGCCGATCGTTCAAGGTTGAACGTTCCCCGCGGTGTCAGGAACCAGCGCTGGGGTCGGCACGACACGAACGGGCACCGAGTGCCGAAGGGCGTTTGCACTTCGCCGTGTCGCCCCGACCGGAGCAGAGGGTCCGCCAACGCGAGAGGGCACGGTCGTTCAGGGGAGGCGGGAGTGGGAGAGACTCCCCCCCCGCCACACACACAAGCACACACACACACATGCACGCACGCACGCACGTACGCACGCACGCATGCACACACACACACACATGCACGCACGCACGCACGCACGCGCACGCACGCACGCACACACAGCACACAGCACACAACACAACACACAAACGCAACACACAACACACAACACACACAATACAAGGCACACACAGAGACTTTGCGGGTAGCGGCCTGGCGCGCGGCGACAAGGCGGATTCAATTGCAGTACGCAGCGTGGGGTCGCGGCCGGGCCCTCACGGATCGCTTTGGATCCGCGCACACAAGTCAAGCGCAGAAGGCGCGCGAACGTTCCTAACACGTGCAACGCCTGCTGTCCAATCGGCTTGATTGTGGATGTTGCCCTCAACCTGTTTGGCAGGGAGGGAGGGAGGGAGGAGTGCACGCGGAGGTGGGACAACAGCCCGCGCCGAGAGGGCCAGAAGAGGAGGAGGAGGAGGAGGAGGAGGAGAAGGAGGAGGACGAGGAGCTGCAGGAGGATGAGGAGGAGGAGGACGAGGAGGAGGAGGGGAAGGAGGAGGAGGAGGAGGAGGAGGAGGAGGAGGAGGAGGAGGAGGAGGAGGAGGAGGGGGACTGGAGGCCTTAGAGGGGGACCACTGGAGGCCTGTTTGGCGATCCGATCCGATCTCGGCTCCGGGCGGCCCGATCCGCTTCGATCCCCGCGGTCCGAAGGTGCGGCCCGAGGCCGATGTGTGGCTCCGCTGTGCGCCCTGGCGCGGCTGGCCCGCTGCGACTCGGCCTCCGTGCCGGCGCGGCCCGAGTCCGACGGGCATCTCGAGCCGATGCGTTTTCCCGATGCGATGTTGAATGGTCTCGCCCCCAGAGGTTTATGTCACTTTTTGTTCCCCTATTTTTTACCCTTGGAACACAAACAAAAACGTTTTGGATTTCCCCCGTTTTGAAGGTCGGCGTTATCCTACATGGTGGGCCCCGTGGTGACGTGCTCAGGTCCACGATGGGCCCGTTGCCAGCCTGCCAGTTTGTTTTTCCGCTTTCACTTTTTATGTTGCGCGACTTGAGATATCATTGCCGCCTGCCTGGCACCCACTTGTTGAGGTGCTGGTTTCAACATGTTCCAGTAGAGTCAAACACGAAGAAAAGCAGAAAGCGACTGAAAAACGGACCCAGCGATTTCAAGAGCAACTTGGATCCCGCCTCCCCTGCGAACATCCTGGGACTCGTGCGGAGACCCTCGGAGATCTCCGGCGGGAATGGGGGGCTCATGGCTCGCCGGTGCAGACCAATTTTTTTCCAAGAGTTGGCCCCTCTTTTAGTGGCCGCAGGGGATTTACACATTCTGATGAAACGCAGTTCGCCGGCTTCTATGTACGATCGCGTTACTGGCCAAGGCGCCGAAATATTGGCTACAATGCCAATTACGTTTATTTAGCTACGCCGACGCCTGGCACAATAGCAAGATCATTGCAATATGGGTTTGTGAAATCTGAGTCGACAGCCCCGTTTTGGAAACGTGGCGGCCTCCATCCGTGTAGCCGCTGAGGGTTGTTCAGACGAATCTGCGCGGCGCTTGGGCGAGAGCCACAATTTGAAAACCGCCTGCCATCCATCCGTGTAATACTGGTAAGCTTTAAATCCGAGTGCGCTCGATGCTAAGGCGAAAACCCGATTCTGCACACGACCAGTCGCACATCCGTGAATTCGTTGCAAAGTTGCAGGCTCGCATCATACATCGCACGGAAGTGTTGAGCGAAACGCCAGTCTTGGTCGACGGGCACGCCAGGCGGTGCGACAGTGAGGAGTTTTTCACAGACAAGAGGGATGTATACTACGAAGAAGAACAGTAACAAAAACAAAAACAAGAAGAAAAAAAAGAAGAGGAAGAGGGCAATCTCCAGGGAGCCTCTGGGAATCCCCTCAGAGGTGTCTGCAGAGGCCTCCTGGACGCCCGCGCATACGCTTGCGATTGCCACGAGAGGTAAATCCTGGGTCCCTCCCTCTGGGGGGATGACGATGGTAAGGAGCACGGATGAGGATGCGGAGAATGATGGTGCTGATGGTGATTGTGAAGGTGATGTTGATGGTGATGGTGATGATGAAGAAGGTGATGGTACTGGTGAAGATGATGACGAAGACGATGCTGATGACGATGACGATGGTGATGATGATGCTGATCATCATGATGTTGATTATGATGATCATGATGACGGTGATACTGATGCTGACTATGATAATGATGATGATGATGTTGTTGATGATGATGATGGTGATGGTGATGGTGATGGTGATGATGATGATGATGATGATGATGATGATGGTGATGATGATGATGATGATGATGATGATGATGATGATGATGGTGGTGAAGGTGGTGATGATGATGATGATGATGATGATGGTGGTGGTGATGATGGTGGTGATGGTGATGCTGTTGCTGATGCTGATGATGCTGATGGTGGTGATGATGATGGTGATGGTGATGGTGATGGTGATGGTGACAGTGATGATGGTGGTGATGGTGATGGTGGTGGTGGTGGTGGTGATTAGTGTGAAGATGAGGATGATAATGAGGACGAGGATGATGAGGAGGAGGAGGAGGGAGGAGGAGGAGGAGGAGGAGGAGGAGGAGGAGGAGGGGCTGGAGGAGGAGGATGAGGTTGGAGGAGGAGGGCAGGAGGAGCATGATCAGGGTAATGACGGACAGGAGGAGGAAAGGGAGTTGAGGAGGAGAGGAGGAGGAGGAGGAGGAGGGGAGGGGAAAGAGGAGGGAGGGATGAGGGATGAGGGATGAGGGATGACGAAGAGGAGGAGGAGGAGGAGGAGGAGGAGGAGGAGGAGGAGGGGGAGGCGGAGGCGGAGGAGGAGGAGGAAGAGGAGGAGAAGGAGGAGGAGGAGGAGGAGGAGGAGGAGGAGGAAGAGGAGGAGCAAAACTGCGTGCTTCTGGAAGCCGATCGCGACTTCGGGAGCCCACAGCCCACTCGGGAGGCCTCCCCAGCGACCCGCGGCACGGCGCCGGTCCGTCGGAGCTGCTCGCCCTGTCGTCCGACGACGAGGCCGCCGTCCTCGCTTCTCAGAGAAGGGGAAGGTATCCATACTTCTACCTTTCCTTCGTTTTCGCCGTTTTCGACTTCCGGGGAGGCCATCGTCGCCACCGCTGAATTCGGCTTGAGATCCTATCAGAACGCACCGCGGGAGAGGTCCGAGGAGTAGAGGTATGGGTACCTTTTCGTTTCCCCAGCTGTCCCCGCGCTTCTGGCGGCCCTCGCCGCCTGCGCTGCGCGTCGCAGCCTGCGTCCGCTCCCGACCCCCCCCCCCCCGGATCTGAGCGTTGCATTTTTTTCGCAACGGGCATTTTCGTCGGGGCCCCTGGGCCCTCACAGATCAATCTGGGCCGAGCCATGGCGCACCAAGATTGGGTCGGGGGCTCCGGTGGTAATTTTCTGCTACTTCGCCACGTCGGATCTCGGGCCCCCCTCTTCGTCAGAGGAGGAGAAGACACTGATACCGCTGCCGTTCCCTTCCCTTGGTCGCCGCAGATGCATTTCCTGGACCAGAGACGTGGGAGGACCAGGAGGAGGGAGGTGGGAAGGAGAAGGAGGAGGAGGAGGAGCAGCAGCAGCAGTAGGAGGAGGAGGAGAGGGGAGGGTCGAGGCGGGAGCAGGGAGATGTCAAGGTGAGGAGGAGTAGGACGCATGAGGGATCGGGAGGAGGAGGAGGAGGAGGAGGAGGAGGAGGAGGAGGAGGAGGAGGAGGAGGAGGACAAGGATGGGTTAGGGGGCTGTTTCGTCTTGATGTTCCAGAGCGCGTGTAAGGCAGTACGGAGGCAGAAAGCGTGCTCACGCTCGTCAGGAGCGGCCGGGCGCCGCGAAAGCTCGAGCACCAGGAAGCCCTGGCCGATGGACGAGCTGGTGCCGGGTCTCTCCGTGCCACCTCTGCCCTGAGAGCCGCGGCTGGGCCCTCGGGCGGCCCTCCCGATCTGGCCGAGGGGCGTCCAGCCTCCCCAGGGGCCCGCTTCGGAGGAGGAGGAGGAGGAGGGGGAGGGCGAGGGGGAGGGGGAGGAGGAGGAGGAGGAGGAGGGAGCAGGAGGAGGAGGAGGAGGAGGAGGAGGGAGGAGGAGGAGGAGGAGGAGGGGAGGGGGAGGGGGAGGGGGAGGAGGAGGAGGAGGAGGAGGAGGAGGAGGAGGAGGAGGGAGGAGGAGGAGGAGGAGGAGGAGGAGGAGGAGAGGTGGGGGAGGGGGAGGAGGAGGGGGAGGGGGAGGGGGAGGGGAGGGGAGGAGGAGGAGGAGGAGGAGGCGGGCGGAGGAGCGAGGACTTCCCCGGGTGTCCCGCCAGGTCTGCGGCCCAGGCTCGGGCACTCTGGCCCCGCCCCGGCGTTGGGGCTCCTCCTCAGCCTCGGTTGGACTCGGCTCTGCGTGCTTCGCGGCCTGGAGTCGACAGAAACAGCGCTCGGGGGCGGCAAAGAGGGGGGTGATGACTAGGGGGGGGTGGATATCATGGCGGGGGCCATGATATTTCCCCTGATTTCACGGCGCCTCTTCTTGCTCCATTGCGTCCCTGGCCCCCCCGCTGAGCCGCGCACATGCCGCCGGTCATGATTTGCACCCCCCCCTCTCTTGGACACCCCCCTCTTGGCCGCTCCCGGCCTTCGCCTCGGTCGGCCTCGGCTCTGCGTTCTTCGCGGCATGCAGTCGACAGAAACAGCGTGTGCAAGGTCGTTCTGGATGGTCCTGCCTTTGGACACCGCTCCTGAGAGCGGAAATCGTACCGTCAGGAAGGAACAAGAGCACACAGACACAACGAATCGTCGATTCCCCAGAACCATATGAAAAATATGGGAAGTGGACAGGAAGACAAAAACCCTGAAAATATAAGAAAGTATGGTGACTCCTGTTATTTGTGTGTATTATATAGATATATGTGTGTGTTTGTGTGTAAGTGTGTGTGTGTGTGTGTGTCCCAGGGCCCCTTCATACCGTTCTGAGCGAGAGCGAGGCCAGGCTGCGCGTGGCCCCCTGAGCACTGGACGCGAGGGGTCTCTGACCCGAGTGCTGCGCACCCTCTATGCCCTACGACCCAAGAGCGGGACGAGGTGAGCAGGCAAGGTGGGAGGAGGAGGAGGAGGAGGAGGAGGAGGAGAAGGAGGAGGATGAGGCGGAGGAGGACGACGAGGAGGGGGAGGAGGAGGAGGAGGAGCAGGAGGAGGAGGAGGAGGAGGAGGAGGAGGAGGAGGGCGTCCTGGGATGAGAAAGAGGGAGGCGTTTCCTTCCTCCTCCTCTCCGCCTTCGTTAAGCCCCTCCTGGCCCACTACATCCATCCCCTTCCAAACGGAGAACCTGCATCTTACAGCGAGGACGGGGGGCCGCGGGTCCCCTTGCTAATTCGTGGCGAACCTGAATAATATATATATATATGTGTGTGTATACACACTGAATTATATATACATATATTCCCTAATCAGAGCTTGCCTCTGTAGGGGTCCTAGTGGATTAAAGGGTTAGGTGAGGTTGGTCGCCGATTTCGGTGGCCAGGCCCGGGTGCCCGGGTGCCCCGCGGTGCCTGGGTGCCCAGGTGGCCGGTGAGGTGCGTGGCCGATTTCGGTGGCCGGGCCCGGGTGCCCAGGGGCCCGGGGGCCCGGGGGTGCCCGGGTGCCCGGGGGTGCCCAATAGCCCAATAGCCCAGTAGCCCTATAATTAGCCCTATAGCCCTATAGCCCTACAGCCGTATAATAGCCCTACAGCCCTGTAGCCCTGTAGCCTTATATCCCTATAGCCCTAATAGCCTTATATCCCTATAGCTCTATAGCCCCATAGCCCATATAGCTCTATAGCCGTATAGCCCTATAGCCCTATGGCCCTATAGGTCACAGTCGTACAGCCCTATAGCCCTATAGCCCTATAGCCCTACAGCCCGATAGCCCTATAGCCCTATAGCCCGATAGCCCTATAGCCCTACAGCCCTATAGCCCTAACAAAAAATCTGATTGGGTTTTTCTCCGGTATATATATATATATATATATATATATGTGTATAGCGCCCCCCCTGTTCTCTCCCGAGGGTGGGAATAGCGCGTTGGAGGGCCGAAGACTTACTCTACTTTCCCCGGAAGGATTTCCCACCCTCCCTTTCCCTTCTCCTCCTCTTCCTCCTCCTCCTCCTCCTCCTCCTCCTCCTCCTCCTCCTCTTGCTTTTCCTCTTCGTCTCCGATTGCGTAACTGCACACCTCCTGCTGGCATATTGCAGCCTGTGCCCCGACGCATAGCTGCATGCCAGCTGCTCGTGCCTTGCAGGCCTGCGGCTTGCCGCGACCCGGCGGAATTCCTGCCCGCCGCTGCGCCTTCGATGATCGCTGTCCTGCGCCCCCGCGCGCCGCTCGCTTTCCCGCATCGGCGGCGTCCAGCGCCCGGAAGTAGCCGAGCGCCAGCGGCAACGACAGGGGGGGATAGTCGAATGACAAAAAACGACATAAACATAGTTGAATTGTTGACGCTTCGCGAATCCCCACCAGCCCATCCAGAAACGATGCCCAGAGGAATTGCCTCGATCAGGGAAGTGGGCAGCACACAGAGGGTAGCCATTATGAGACATCTTGGGATATCTTGAGCCATCTTGGAAGTCATTCTGGGCTCTCCCAGGCGCTCTTGGAGTCATCTTAATCAGTGCCCCCCCCAAGAGGCCAACATGTGGCTAAAACCTTCGTGAAATCAATGATTTGGCATTCTCACCGAGGCCTCTTGGAGCATCTTGGGTGCCTTTGGGGGGTCTCTTGGGGCCTCTTGGGGGTCTCTTTGGGGCCTCCTGGGAGCCTCTTGGGGGCCTCTTGGGGCCATATTGGGGCCATCTTGGGACCTCTTGGGGCCTCCTGGGCGCTTCTTGGGGCCATCTTGGAGGAGATCGATCAAACAAGAGGGGAGCATTAATTAGGGTCCCCCCCCCCCAGGAGGCCAAAAATGGGTCAAAACCATAGTAAAACCAATGAGTTTGGCTTCCTTGGTTTTGGCTTCCTCGCCGAGGCCGTTTTGGACGCTCCGACGACTCGCGAAACCCCCTGTCCAGGTCCATGGGGAGGGGGATAGGGGGAGGGGTCAAGACGCCCTCCCCGCCCGCAAGCCGTCTCGCTCACTCCCACCCGCCCTCCTAACACATACGTAGCACCCGAGCCTGGCCCGAGCCGCAGCATATGCAAGCTGTCGTGTAGCGACAGGTTTCGTGTCAATTTCGTGTCCGCTTCACCGCTAACGTTTTTGGCTCAAGCGGAAAAGGTGTTTGTCCACATCCCAATGTATCAATCAATCATGCTGGCGTCGGTGCTGGCGTCGGTGCTGGTGTAGGCGGTGGTCATAACGGTCTGGACGCCCCTCAGCCAAAGCCGGACGCAACAAAGTCGAACCAGGCAGGGACGTAGGCGCAAGCGTTGTTGCTTCCGTCGGTGCCCGCGTCGGTGCTGACGGAGGCTCTGGCGTCGGCATTGGCGTAGGCGTGGGCGTTGAAGTTGGCGCCAGTGCTGGGGCAGGAACTGTCGTTGGTGCCAGCGTGGGCGCCGGCGTCGGTGCTGGCGTTGGTGCCAGTGTCAGCGGCGGTCGTAACGGTCTGGACGCCCATCAGCCCAAGACGGATGCAACAAAGTCGAATCAGGCAGGGACGTAGGCTCAGACGTTGTTGCTACCATCGGTGCCAGCGACGGCGCTGGCGGAGGCTCCGGCGTCGGCATTGGCGTAGGCGTTGGCGAAGGCGTTGGAGTTGGCGTCGGCGCTGGGGCAGGAGCTGTCGTTGGTGCCAACGTAGGCGCCGGCGTCGGTGCTGGCGTCGATGCTGGCGTCGGTGCTGGCGCAGTCGGCGGTCGCCCATCAGCCCAAGCCGGACGCAACAGAGTCGAACCAGGCAGGGAAGCATAGGCGCTGGCGCTGCTGCTGCCGTCGGTGCCGGCGTTGCCGGGAGCTCCTAGGGGCCACACGCGAACCCTACCCCTACCACCCACGATCTCTGAGGGGGAGGGTGGGGTTCATTTCGTTTGGGAGCTCCCGAACGAAGTGAACCCCACCCTCCCCCTCAAAAATCGTGGGGGGTAGGGGTAGGGTTCGCATATGCCCCCCCTAGCTCGAACGAAGGATTGCAAAAAAACGAAGGATTGCAATCCTTCGTTTTTTTTGCAATCCTGGGTTTTTTTGCAATCCTTCGTTGAAGGGTTTTTTTGCAATCCTGGGTTTTTTTTGCAATCCTTCGCGTCGGCACCGCCGAGGGCTCAGGCGTTGGAGTCGGCGCCGGTGCCGACGGGGCGCCCGAGGCGTGCAAGGGGTTGAAGGGCGGGCCGTGGGCCGCCCGGTCCGCTCCTGGCCCGTGCGGTCGCCGTCGCCGTCGCGTGTCTCCTGGCGGCCAGGCCGCAGGCACTCCTACTCCTCCTCCTCCTCCTCCTCCTCCCTCCTCCCTCCTCCTCCTCCTCCTCCTCCTCCTCCTCCTCCTCCTCCTCCCCCCTCCTCCTCCCCCTCCCTCCTCCTCCTCCCTCCTCCTCCCTCCTCCTCCTCCTCCTCCTCCTCCAGGCCGCAGGCACTCAGCTTAGTGATGTCGTGTCCGAGTTTCCGGTGTTCGATTCTCGCCCAGTTTCTTCGCGCCCGGATTTGGCGTTTCCCTTTTATAGGGTATCAACTTGCACTTCTTGCTCGCTTGCACTTTCATAGGGTATTAATTTGCACTCAGCTCAAGAATGTCGTGTCCGAGCTTCCGGTGGTCGGCGGTGGACAGGCCTCCCTTCAGTAAACCTCCCCTTAGTGAAAAAGGCCTGGGACCGAAACCGATGGGCCCGGGCCCGCAAAGATGACGGCCGCGACGCCCTCTCGCGAACCGGAGACGGCCAATTCACAAATCGACGTGTGAGGGTAGGAGGTCTGTCCATCCCCGAGGTGTGCGATTCTCGCCCAGTTTCCTCGCGCCTGGATTTGGCGCTTTCCTTTTTATAGGGTATTAACTTGCACGTCTTGCTGCGTACTGCAACTCGGGGGCATGTAGGTTTGCGTGGCGTTTCACGGAGCTTAGCATTGTACCTTAGCTTGGTCGCCATCCGCGTAACCGGCTGGCTTATACCACCCAATCAGTTTTCGACTGGCATGGCAGCAATTGGGGGTATGTTCCGACCTTGTGTTGTTATGCTGCGTTGCGCTCGTTGTTTGCTATTGTGTGAGGCCCGTTTATACGAGCTATCGTTCGGAGCACGGGGGAATGCACTCACAACGGTTTAATTAATCCATCCGTTCTCCTCTCGCTCTTTTTTGCCCTCCTCCTCCTCCTCCTTCCCCCCCTCCTGGTTCTTTCCGTTTTGGCCACGCTGGCAGCATAGGTCGTCCTCAGAAGCAACCGTCCCTCGAGAGTGGTGCGGCCGCACAGGCAGGGCAGAGTGTCCTGATGAGCGCCAGTCCCTCGGTACAGATTTACGTGCATCGCTTTTCAAACAAAAACTTTCCCACGACAATTGAAGCCGCCCAGAAAGGAGGGAGAAGGAAAGCTCGTGGATACACCCCCAGGGGGCTATGCGGAGGCACCCCTATCGAGGATGTACGCCCCCCTATCGTGTCTCCCAGGGTTGGACACCAGAATTCTGGTCCATTCAAAACCCCACGAAGCTTGGGATCGGTGTCGAGATATCCCCTGTAATGTGCCCTGTCCGACGGCTCATGACAGGATGGGGTCTTCTGTGGAGTTCCAGGTCGGCTATGACACGCGCCCGCATCCACGTCTCCTCTTTCCCCCCCCCTCCGCGGGACATCTGTTGTGTCGTCTCTTCGCTCTCTCTCTCTCTTTCTCTCTTTGCTGCTGGGCTCCTCTTGGCTGGCAGAAAGTGCAGACAAGAGCGGCCGCGAGCTCCAAGACCTGCAGCGCGCCTTCAGGGCTTGCCGCAGCGAGGCGCTGGCAGGCCCTTCCCCCCTCTGCTTCTCTGGCCGGCGAGGGCGGCAGCTGGGAGGGACGGGGGGGAGGAAGGACGTGGTCAAGAGGGGAGGCAGGAGGAGTCGCAGGAGGAGAAGTATGCCAAGGGGAAGGAGGAGGAAGAGGAGCCGGAGGAGGAGGAGGAGGAGGAGGACGGGCAAGGGCAGGAATGGCACCCGTGGGCAAGAGCAGGATGAGGGCGTGAGGGAGGATAATGAGGGGGATGATGGGCAGGAGGAGCAGGATGAGCAGGAGGGGGAGGGGGGAATGGAGCAGCAGGTAATTAGAGTAGGGCTACGATGGGGGAGCAGGGGAAGTCGGATGAAGAGGAGGAGGAGGTGGAGGAGGAGGAGGAGGAAGATATGGAGGAGAATGGTTATGAGAAGGAGCAGGGGGAAGGGAGGGCAAGCAGCGGTGGAGGATGTGGAGTAAAAGAGGGAGCGGGATCAGGTGCACAGGGAGCAGGCGGAGAGGGAGGATACGGTAGTGCGAAAGGATGAGGATGAGGAGGAGGAGGAGGAGGAGGAGGAGGAGGAGGAGGAAGAGTAGGAGGAGGATGTTGACGAGGGTTACCATGGCTAATCATGATATGGAGGGAGGGGAAAAGGGGAGAGGATGCAGATGAAGGAGGAAGAGGATGACAAGTAGGAGGGGGAGCGGACGGGGGAAGAGGAGGACGAGGAGGGGGACGAGGACTGATGATGTTGTTGCTGTTTCCCAAGCAGTCCTTGCACTTAGAGGTTCTCACTTGCCTTCTAAGGAACTGGGCCCGTTTGCAGCAGGAAGGGGAGCGGACAGGGGGAAGACAGAAAGAGGAGGGGGATGGGGACTGATGATGTTGTTGTTGCTGCTGTTTCCCTAGCAGTCCTTCCACTTAGAGGTTCTGACTTGCCTTCTAAGGAACTGGGCCCGTTTGCCGCCCCAGCGCCCCTTTTCCCATCCGTCGCTGCACGGCCTGTCCAAAGCAAAAATCTTCCGGAGGGAAAGCAACACAGAGACACAATGAATCGTCGATTCCCAGGAAAATGTGCAAAACTATGGGAAGTGGGGGGAAAGACAAACACCCCAAAATCATGGGAAACTATGGGGAATATTTTTATCTGTGTGTCTTGATTCGTGTGTCCTGGGGCCCCTTCAAACTTGTTTGCTGCCTGCCCTAGCGGCCCCCTTCCCGCCCTCGTCGCCGCTGCCCCGATGCACTCCTCCCCCCCCCCCCGCACTGCAATCGCACTGCACTGCACCGCTTCGCACTCGCACTGAATTTCAATCGCATGGAGCTGCACTGCGCTCACACTGCATCGCATTGCTTTGCCTTGGCTTGCACTGCATTGCAGTACCATCGCGCTGCCTTTCACTGGTTTGCCTTGCTCTGCGCCGCCCTGCGTCGCATGACATCGCTTCGCATTGCATTGCACTGCTTGGCGCTGGTGTGCATTACTTTGCCTTGCTCTGGATTGCGTTGCATTGTTTTGCACTGCGTTGCATTGGCTTGCATTGCGATGTTCTGCATTGCGTTGCATTGCGTTGCGTTGCGTTGGATTGCATTGCGCTGCGGTGCGTTGCATTGCTGTGCATTGTCGTTCATGGCTTTGCATTGCGTTGCGCTGCTTTGCATTGCTTCGCATTGATGTGTATGCCTTGGTGTTTGTCCGGGCCTTGTATCAAATTGGATTGTTTTGCGTTCATTTGCGACACGTATATTGCACCACATGGATTGCACCACCTAAATGCGACACACTGCTTACATCACCTCGATTGCACCGCAGACATTGCAAGGTTTCACTGTTTGGGTTCCACGCTGGCTAACAGTGCTGATGATGGTGATGATGCTGACGACAACGTGACCGTGGTTGCCCTGATTCGGGTGATGATGGCGATGACGGGGAGGCATATGAACGGAATGCATGTGCTTGTCGTGAGATTTTGAACGATCATTGTAACCACAATAAAGTGCATATCCTGATGTCCACAATCGTATTCATGATGAGGAGAGGCGGGGCAGGATGTAGAACATCGTGGAATATGTGGAGCGTGAACGGCAAGCAACATATAACGGACGACGATGTGGTGGGTGAACAGGGGGGACGTGTATGCCACGGACGTCTTTGCCTCGTCTGGCACAGCTACGCGTTAGATATGCGGAGTTGCAGCAGCCGGGTCTGTAGTCCCATCCCCGCGGCCCATGAAGCATTCTGTTGAACAGTTCGCCGATGCTCAAGACACGGCTTCGCTCGGGGGTCTGCTTCGCCTGGCGTGCGTGCGGCGGCACTGCATCGCCCCGACTGGCCGACCACGCCATCGTCAGTCTTGCCCCTCATTGCTGCTAGAGGCGCGGCAGCGCCCATGAGGCCCCCCCCCCAGGGCAGAGCTTTATCCCGACTCCTCCGATTCGATTTCGATGGCTTCCGATTCCCCTTCCATTCGACTTGGGATTCCGACGAAGGCTCCGATGTGTAAGCGGAGGCCATACTAGCCTGCCGATTTCCACCGCTTCGACTCTTCCCGACCAGGCTGCCGATTTTTCCGCCGATTCGTTTCATTTCGATCGCCGACCCGACGTAGGTTTGATTCTGGGCTCTCCTGCGCAGTCGGTTGAAGGGGGTCTACGGGGTTTTGCCAGAGGCAAGCGAGCTCCTCACAGCTCCACACGGCTGCATGCGTGTGTCCGAGCGGATCGAGCGGGCCCACGAGGAGATGCGCAAGAAGCACAGAATCCACCGTCCGAGCGACGCCAAGCTTGTCGCGGGAGGGCAACTGTTTGCGCTCGCCTCTCTTGCTCTCTTCTAACAAGCCTCCTCCCCTCCCCCCGTTCGATGAAGAATGCCTCGGCAGGGGCAGGGACAAAAGCGATCGCCCCCCGCAGACGGCGGCGGCGGCGGCGACGACGACGTCGGCGACGACGACGACGACGACGACGACGACGACGACGACGACGACGACGACGACGACGACGACGACGACGGCAACGACGGCGACGACGACGACGGCGACGACGACGACGACGACGGCGACGACCTCCCGCCGCAGGCGCGTGCGCGGCCATCGGCGCCGAGCTGGCCCGCAGGAGCGAGTAAAGAGGCAGAAAAAAGAGCGGCGCGCTCTCGCCGGCGCCCACGAGCGTGCGAGCCCGCAGAGGAGGAGCGCGCGCGGGGCGCAGGCGCGGGTGGCAGGCGCGCGCGCAGCGCGGCAGTCTGCGGCTCAAAGATGGGGTCCCGAGGGAGGGGGCCCTCAGGACGAGGTGCTTCAAACAGCGCTGATCCACCCTTGGGCCTCTTCCCATCCTCGAAGAGAAAACGCAACACACATGAGCTTTTGGCGCTCCGCGCGGGCTGCTCGGATCCGCGCTGGGCCCCCCCCCGGCGGAGCCTCCGGCGCCGCCCATGGCGCGATACGCGCGCCAGGGAGGGGGGTCCAGCGCAGATCGAAGAGACCCGCGCGGAGCGCCAACAGTTTTATGTTTATGTCGTTTTTCTTCCTCGTCTTTTCTTTATTATTTGCCTGGTTCTTCTTCCATTCAAGCAGAGAAGATCCACCATTGGGTCTCTTCCCATCCTTAGGCCCCCATACCTCAGGGCCCCATCTTTGAGCCACCGAGGCCAGGGAGGGTGTGTTCTTCCCAATGTTGTTACGGGTTTCGCGACTTCTGCTGTCCCTCGACTCGCGGCCTGCAGCGTCCACCGCGTGCTCCAGATGTCCCTGGAAGTCTTGATGGGTGAACACAGGTTTACCCGGTTTTACTTCGATTTGCACGGACATGCTCCCATTTATGTGGCTTGATCTTCGCAAGACGAATCAGAGAAGTTCCCTGGAGGTCTTGATGGATGAAAACAGGTTTACCCGGTTCTATCTCGATTTGCACGGACATGCTCCCATTTATGTGGCTTGATCTTCGCAAGTCGAATCAGAGAACACGTCAAGCCCTCATGGACAATGCACTCGGGGGGGTTCATTTGGGGATCGTTCCGCCTCCCCCCCTTCTCCCCCTTTCTCCCCTTCCTCTCCCTTCCTCCCCCTTCCTCCCCCCTTCCCCCCCTACTCCCCCCTTTCCCCCACTCGTCCCCCTCCTCATCCTCGAAAAGTGGCCCATGATATGGTGAAGGCATGCCCAAAACAGTCCAAGACGTTCCCGCAGTCCTGTGTGTGCACCAGTCCCTCCCTCCATTCACCTCAATCCCATCTCTGCTTGGGATCTCGTGTTCTGGACGGGTGATCAACGGATAGGTAGTCGTCTGATTGCCTGTCCGTCAACAGTACCTTTTGATCAGTGATCGGGAGGCTGGCTCTCTGGGTCCTTGCTACTTATACGTGACAGGCGGCCAAAGATAGCCAGAATGCGGCCCACCATTGCCCCAAGACGCACCCATGTGCGCGCTGGCATGGGCTCAGGCGGGAGTCGGCTGCGCTGCCAGGGCAGATCGGGCTCTCAGGGTTCTCCCCGCGCTCGGGCCCCCTGGCCCCTCCACGGGCTCCAGGACTTTCGAGAAACGATTCGGGGTGTAAGTTGGTCCCGGGGAGAAGCCCCGCTGCCCGCGACCCGTCTCCTCCAGGACTGGATCGCTTCGTGCCAGCGCTCGCCGACGGAAGCGCCGTCGGCCACACGCGCCACCACTTCGTCTGAAGAGCTTCACTCGCTTCTGAACCACGGTGGTGTCGGCGCCTTCGTGTTGGTCTTATTCCCTGCTGGGGTGGGCTCGAGACCCCGGGTTTTTCCAGCCGGGCTTTGTCCGTCAGCCTGGTGAGTTTGCCTGTGAACTGGCGCGGCGAATCTCGCTGGGCCCTGCCACCGCTGCCCGAGAACGTGAAGTCGCCCAAGATCCGGTCCCCCGTCGTCGTGACGTTCGGTCCTTCGCCCCCCCCCCGCCCCGAGGGCACTGTCTTCGGATGGGGGAGACGCGACACCAACACCACCAGGGTGCCCACCTCCAGCGAGGAGGTTCACGATGCCTCCCCGAGCTGGAGGTTGGGGATGCCTCGAGCGAGAGGGGGGGGGGCCACACCACCAGGGAGACCCCCCCTGTGCTCCTCGCATCTCCTCGCCCGGCTGGTGTCGGTGTCGCCATTCCTTGTTCCTATGTCTGCCCCCCCCCCCCCCCCTCGTCCTCCCCTCGGGGGCGATGGCTCGAGAGCGACTGGACCACGGGGGGAAAGCATCGACCCCCCGGTCGCCTCCTCCTCGCCGAGCGGGGCCCGGGCGCCCCGGCCTGCCCAGGAACGTCCAGTTCTGCGGTCGAGGGCCCACCACCACCGGTCTTCTCTCGGCGACGTGCTGCCGATCCCGCGTCAGCGTTTCCCCTCCTCGCCTCCTGCACCCCCCTGGCAGACGAGGTCAAAAGAGGCTGCGGAGACCATGTGCTTCCTGCTTGTGTTTCCCTCTGGGTGTCCCAAGTGTGCCCACTGGGAGGGAATATGCAAGAGAAGCAAGAAAAGGAGGAGGAGGAGGAGAAGGATGAGGAGGTGCAGCAGTAGTAGGAGGAGGAGGAGGAGCAGGAGGAGAAGAAGGAGTCCCTTGCGTCTTACATCCTTGCCCCTGTGCGGCACCTCCGCCTCTTCGGCTGGCACTGTCTCCCTTACGGCTCGCGCAAGGTCCTTACACTGCTGCTGAGCATCCCGAAGGACATTTCATTTTCTTCGGAGAGGGTGATCTATTTGAGAGCGGGGTGCGTAACTGATACAATAGGCGAGGTTTATTCCAGCATGATTGTACTCATAATGTTTTCAGCTGCCTGCGGCAAGTCCCACCACCGTACCAGCCCAGTATTATGTGTGGCAACTGTTCGGGGGGTAGCGGGATGCCTTCATGTGTGGCACTTCGTATCCCCAGGCGTGTGAGAGACGTCGTGATGATGCTGATGACGATGTTGATGATGATGATGATGATGATGATGATGATGATGATGATGATGATGATGATGATGATGATGATGATGATGATGATGATAATGATGATGATGATGATGATGCTGCTGCTGCTGCTGCTGCTGCTGGTGATGATTGTGACGAGGATGTTGCGGATCGGGAGGAGGAGGAGAAGGAGGAAGGGAACGGCCGTCACATGTGACACATGTCCTCTTCCAGGAGCTCTCATGGAACTCGGTTTGGCCGTCTTGGGGCTGTCTTGGCCTCCCGTGAGGCTGTCTTGGCGCTCCCTTGGCGCCCTCCTGGACCGTCTTGGGGCTCTCTTTGCCGTATGGTGGGTGTCTGAGGGCCGTCATGGGGCCGCCTTGGCGCCGTCTTGGGCAGTCGAAGTGCCTTTTAAGGCCGTCTTGTGTCCCACCCACGGGAGGCCCTTTTCGGCCGTATTGGAGCCATCTTGGTTGCTTCTTGGGCCTTCGTGGGGTCCTATTGGGCCACCTTTGGGCCCTCGTGGGGGCCTCTTAGGCCGTCTTGGGGCCATCGTCATCGTTGAGGCTTCTTTGGCCGTCTTGAGTTGACGGAAGCCCTGAACGGCGAGGATGCGAACATCACTCAAAGACCCAAGGGTTGTCTCAGATTCGGGCTTCGTCGGGCCCTGTTGGAGGTCCTCGTGTTGCCCTTTTTGGGCCGTCTCTTGGAGGCATCTTGGGCCGTCTTGAGGCCACATTCGGCCTCCTTTTGGCCAGCTTGGCCCGTCTTCGAGGCCGCTTGGACCATCTTGGTGTTACTGGTTACCTGCATGGGCCCGCCTGGAAGCTCGAGAAGCGGACCCATCGTTTTCAACAAGGGATCGTGGCCTCGGGAGCACGGATCAATCGTTTTGTTGTACGAGGTTTCGGGGCCTCGGGATGGGGGGGGGTGCATGCACGAGTCTGCTACTGGAGGGGGGGTGTCTCTTACGAGAATACATAAGCCCTACAGAGCAGCACCTGGCATTCTAACACGCCCACATCGTGCAGGCAGGGTGGCAGAGGACGGGAAGCGGCTCTTGCGTGGACCGTTTGTATATGGCAGGTTAGATCTATTCTCTGACGAAGGGCTGCTGGCTGCATCCCAGAAAAGAAGGAGGAGGCAGATGCGGCGGCAACGGCAAAGCAGGAGGAGGCGGGAGAGGGAACTCGCCATCCCCGGGTGTGGCAGCGATGGTGACCCGCCCGAGGAGTGTGCTGCCCGCGCGGCGCACGGCGCCCTCGGCCACGGGCCACGGCCGCTGCGTGCTCGCCGCGCCGCGTGCTCGCCGCGACGGCCCCTGTCTGCAGCGGCGAGCGGCGTTCCGAGCGTCTTCGGTGAACGAGAAGCGTAACTTATCGGGGGCGGAAAAGAGGGGGGTGATGACTAGGGGGGGGTGGATATCATGGCGTGGGCCATGATATTTCCCAGATTTCATGGCGCCTCTTCTTTAATCATTACGTCCCTGGCCCCCCCGCTGGGCCGCGCACATGCCGCCGGTCATGATTTGCACCCCCCCCCCTCTTTGACGCCCCCCTCTTTGCCGCTCCCGAACTTACCAGCCTGGAACATATCCCTATCCCTATGCTGGGCACCTCCTCATCACCATGCCAATCTCAGGGATTCCCACATTTTTTGAGAGGGCGGATCCCTAAGACTGTCATCGCCTTTTGGCGTGTCAATCTCAGGGATAGGGATACGCTCGAGGCTGGTAGGTAACATATCGAAGAACTCCTGACATACAGGCCGTCTGGAGTAGCAAAAGGCGGGCCCGTGGCGGACCATTCTTCTTTTTTATTCTCGGCAGAGCCGGGTGGAATTCAGTGCCCCTCGCTGGCCGACCGACGGAAGAGTCAACTGCACCGAACTGCGCTGAGCTAACTTTGCCAGCCTGGAACGTATCCCTATCCCTAGGATTGGCACGCCAAAAGGAGATGACAGTCTTAGGGGTACACCCTCAGAAACCGAGGAGATCCCCAAGATCGCCATCGTGATGGGGCGATGCCCAACATGGGATAGGGATATGTTCCAGGCTGGTAATAACTTTGCTGGATGGGGCACTTTGGGCAATGCACTTCAGCCCGCCCATGGGCACCCGCGACCGCAACGGGGCGACGCATTTCCACCCGCCCGCGGGCGCAACCGCCCGATGTGCAGGAGATGCAGGAGCACGAAGAAGAGGCGGAGGGAGAGGAAGAGCAGGAAGACAGGGAGCGGGAAGAGGAGACCGTGCATGACGGCCAGGAGGAGGAGGAGGAGGAGGAGGAGGAGGAGGAGGAGGAGGAGGAGGAGTTGGAGGAGGAGTTGGAGGACGGCGACGATGAAGAAGGGGATGCAGGCATGGTCGTATTTCAGGTGGTTGCAGGAGCAGGTGTCGGTGGAGGAGGTAACCTAGTGGCACGATAGGGAGATGGAGGATGAGAAGGAGGAGGAGGAGGAGGAGGAAAACGCGTTGCCCGCGGTTCTCCGCCAGGGCATTGCAGCGGGGAGTCCCCATTCCACGCTGCTGCCTGTGTTTCGTTTCGCCTGAGACACCCTCGCTTCAATGTTTTTTTTTCGCGACGCAGTGAAAACAAACATCAAAGTTTTTCGCTCGAAGTACCCTCCATAATGTGGTAAACACATTTTTGCTTGAGCATCAAAATTGGCGTCTCGCGTGAGACATCCGCGAACAAACCGAATTTAACCAGAGCTGTTGCTATGCTCACTCGTTAGGAAAAAACGACGCCCTCGCTCGCGATATCTTCGGACAGTGAGCGCCAGAAGGGCAGACCAACAAAGCTGTATGTCCTGACGTTGTTTCCAAGTGTCCCTTTCGCTCGGGGCGTTGGCTCCAAGAGCGTCTTGAGGACCCCCGAACATGACGATTTCGATGAGGATTTCATCAAGAGCATGGGAATCCAAAACGATATTTTCGAGCGAACATCGTGCTTCACCTCGTCTTGACATCGCTCTTGAAAGGCCTGCCGACGACCTACACAAGTTCTCCACATTGGTGATTTCGCTCGGGACATCCTGAACAAGTTGGTTTTGATAAGATCATTTTGGTGTCATTTTGCAAGCCTCAAGGCGGTCCCAGAGAGCCCAAAGCAGGCCCCAAGATGACCCCATTAGAGCCCCCAAGACGAGCGACATTTGCGACTTCGCTTTGGGCACCACCACCAGTCTACGAATATACAGGCATCGGCCTATGGAAGAAGTTGCGTCTCGTCCGGGACATCCTCCTGAAAAACAGGAATGTTGGATCTGCACGATCGAAATGGGCACGGAAAGAATTGGCACAATGCCCAACAGCGGCTCTGGTTCATTTTGAACCGGATTCGCTGTCCGCGCCGCCGCGGCCTGTGTCCACTCGAGACAAACGGCCGCCTGCCCAACAGCGGCCGCTGTTGGTTTGGGACAACATTTGTTGTTGGGCATTGTACCCACTCTTTCCGTGCCCATTCCGGGCGTCCAAATTGGAGGATTCGCCCCGCAGGATCGCGGCAGACCCGCAGGGCGAAGGGCTCCGCAGCCGTCTTTGGCTCAGACCTGCCTCGGGCACCGGGCGGGCGCAGCGCGCGCTTTCTCTCCGTGTAGAGTCTTATGATTTCGGCAGGCGCAGAGAGCGGCTCCGCCTCCTTCCCCCGGCGCGGCCTCCAGCGATGGAGGCGAAGGCAACCGCCACGGTGGAGAGCTGCCAAGTCCTGGTGGCACTGGCGCCGCTGGTGCGCGCGGCCGCGGCCGGCACGGCTGAGGGAGGCGGCGGACGCCAGCACCTCGCCACCGCCGTCGCCGCCGTCCTGCGCATTGGCGCCCTGGTCTTCAAGGCTGCTTCGCAGGGCAGCCCGTCGTTCGACAGCGAGGGGCAAGTCGACCTCGCTGCGTGGATGGCGGTTATCGAGAAGGCGCTGGCGCAGGTGGCTGGCGAGGCTGTCCCAGGCAGCGTGCGCTTCGAGCGCAACTTCGCGGCACGCGCGGGGCTCGGCGAGGGCGCCGACGCACTGCGCCTGGAGATCGAAGAGAAAAAGAAACAGGTGAATAATGATAATAGGAAGAAGAAGCACATCAAGACAAATAATAAACATAATATTCATAATGCGAATCGTGACGCTATAATAATAAGGATGATGATGAGTCGTAGTAATAATCAGGAAAAGAGGCAGCGGGGCCAGCAGCGGGTCGTGCGCGACCTAGCCAGGCGGCGATGGCTTCGGAGGGACCTTCGGAGAGCGACTCTGGCGTGAAGGACGCGTCCGATGGCCGCTCGACTGACGCCAGGTGCGACTTGGAGCAGCCTCGACGTGGAACACGGGTTGGAGGGCCGCGTCCAGGAGCTCCTGGCGGAGCGCCAGAAGCTCGCTGTAGAGCGCGACGGGCTCCCGGGCTAGCTCATGGACGCCCGGGCCCTCGCCTGGGAACTCATGCGCGAGGCGGCGCCTGCCTCGCCGTTCTGGGCCGACCTCGCCCTGGGAGAAGACGAGGAACCAGGTGGCGCGGCCAGGTGCGACCTCGAGGGCATCTTCGGCGGTGCCGACGCGCAGCCGGTGGGCGCGCTCAAGGGCGACGCCGAGGGCGATGCGACGGGCTCGAGACGCCGCTGCGGCGTGGCGAGCAGGCTTTCGTGGACGGCGGAGCGGCCGCGGCCTGCGCCACACCGACCCCGCACCGTTGGTCGGCCGTCTGCCCGGCCAACGCCCCCCGCGCCCGACGCCCGCGCCGACGCCGGGCGGCGTCCAGGCGGGCGGAGGATCGGAGGTAGCCAAGGGCAGCGCGCCTCCTACAGCCGCCGCCGCGGCTGCTGCCCCCCTGCAGCTGGCCGCGTTGGTCGGCCGTTCGCCCGACCCGCGCCCCCAGGGCCGCGCCGGGCCGCGCGCGGTGCCTCTGGGGCCTGAGCGGCCCGCCGCGAGCGGCGGCGGCGACTGCGAGGACGACTCCGACGTGGGGCCCGAGCGCTCAGTCGGCCCCGCCGGCTGCGGGGCCGCCGCGCCGACGGGCGACATCCAGGAGGGCAGCCTCATCGTCGGCGAGGCCGAGAAGGGCGACGGGCGCGGCAGCTGCGAAATGCCTGGGCCCTGGGCCGCGGGCGTGGCGAGCGGGCCAGCCCAGCGCGAGGCCGACGGCTTCGGCAGCCAGAGCCATCTTGATAGCGAGGCGCTGAACGAGGGGTCCCGGGGCGCGGTGGCGCCGAGGAGCTGGGGGGCCACGTTGGCGGCCAACTCGCGGCGCATTCGCGGGCCGTCGCGGTGCTCGAGCACCGCCGGGCCGAGCAGCAGCTCGAGCGCGACGCGCTCGACGCGCCGACGGCGGCGGCCGCCGGGCCGGCGGCCGCGGAGCAGACGGCCAAGGGTAGGAAGAAGAAGGGGCAGAAGCCGACGTTCGGCACCGCAGCTAGGGCGCTGAAGAGCGGCCCCCTGGCCAGCGGCGCCCGCGGCGGGCTCCAGCCTTCGGCGTTCCAAGCTGCGGCGGATAGGATGAAGGTCGGGCGTTTGCAGCTGGCGCGGCTGGGGGCCGAGGGCCAGGCCACCGTGGAGCGCGCCCTGCAACGCGGCGCTGGCTTGAAGGCTGCAGCGGCTCAGGAGAGCGCTACCGAGGTGGTTCAGGCGCTCGATGATCTGATCGCGATCGCGAACAGGTGATGCATTGCAAGCCGCGCGTCCGTTCATCGCTGCTGGCCAACCGTATTTGAATGGGTGCGCGTAGTGGATGCTTGCAAGTTGTTTGCCGTGTCGGTCTGTGGCGCATCCTCTTTGGCTTGCGCCGCCGACTGCTTCCCCTTGGGTGGGCCTGCCCGGGATTTTCGGGGTCGGTTATGAGGCCTGTCGGGCCGCCGCCCTTTCGTCTGGGCGCCCCCCATCGGGATGGCCCCCAGCGGGCCTGTCTCCTCGGCAGGGCCCTGGCCCTTCGGGAGGGGGCCAGTTCCTCAGTGGAGACTTGGCATTCAGCGGATTTTCCTATTTCCTGTTTCCGGGTTTTCACCCGCGGACAATCCGATCCAATCCAGCAGGGCAAGGGCGGCCCCAGCGACGACGGCGCGGAGAAACAGACGACAATCAGAACTGCGAAGAAATAATTAGTGGGTCTCCTGGGGCCTCCAGAGGGTCAAAGCGTTGATTTTTTGTCGAAGCGGCGGGGCGCCCCCCATGACCCCGCGCCCGACAATTGCTAAACGCACAAACGCGCCCGCGCCCATCAAGATGCGCGACGCACGTTAGCCATCGCGGGCCCCAAACAGTGCGCCATTGCAGATGCGGATGCGCAAGCTATGCGATGCCACCTACTTGGCGCAAGCCACGTGGCGCAAGTTCTACAGCGCGAGCTGCGCGGCGAGAGCTACGCGGTGCAACCTCGACGGGCCGCCGACCGCGATGGGCGGCAACGAGGCGGCAGCGGGCGGCGACGCGGACGCCTCAAGTGGGCGGCGACGAGGCGGCAACCGGCGGCGACGCGGCGAAACTTCGACAGGCCCCCCATTCCCACAGTCAGACAAGCACGAACCCCTTAGCGCAAGCACTGCTTGGGGAACAATCATTGCACTGCATGCCGTGGAAATCTTCGACCGTGCACTTTATACCGACACCATGCAAGCACGCAGCGAAACTTTCACAAGCCTCGCGCCCAAGTGGGCCTGCGCCCTCCCGTCTGACTCGGCGAGGCCGAGTAAGCTCTGCGCGCCCGTCTCTCAATGAGTTCGGAAGCCGACAGCTTTCGCAATCGAAGGCCAGTCTCAGGGCGCGCCCTATAATGTGCCCAGAGGGGTGAAGAATCGAGAGCGGGTCATTCTGGGAGTCCTTCTGGAAGGGTCTCAACTTGGATCTTCGAAGCATATTCGCCACAGACTCGGGCCTTAATCTTGCAGCGGGGAGCATTGTCGCAATCCGTCACTCAGGGAGATCCGCTGCCCCCCCCCCCCCCCCACACCAAAAAAATAGGGCTGCGGCCCCTGGCAGCAAACATCATGATGCATTGAATGCTAAACAAACAAACTTATGTGGCAATCCTTTGGACGAATTCTTAACGCAATCCTCCACAGCCCGTTCCGATTGCAATCATCCGAAAGAGGAGTCCGATTGTAACCCCCGCAACAGATTCGAGAGTAATCCTCCACATGCGAAATCTTCGCGCAAGTTTCTTCGAAAGGGGGGCCCTGCTGTAATTAACCTTTCCCGGCAGAAATCCGATTCCAACCTTTTTCAAAAGAAGCCCGGTTGCAACCTTTATCCAGATCTCTGGCTGTTCAACTGTTCAGAGTTACCATCGATTTTTTGGCGTTGAAGTACCAATCGGATTCACTGGCTGCTGGCGATTGCAATGGGCCTCCTCTTTTAGAGGGTTATGAAGGGATTCGTTTGTAAAGGATTACAGTGACATTTATTTTGTTGAAAAAGGATTGCACAAAGGGACCCCAATGCAACCTTCTGCAACAAGGAATCCTTCAATAACCATTTGCAGACGTGGCTTTGTTGCAATTCCCGATACTTGAGCAGCCAGGGATCTGGCACATCTTCCCAGATTGTAGAATTTGAAAACCTTACACATGTTCAGAATTATCCGGCCGAGAGTCGAGCTTTCGCCAAAGACCCATGTCTCCACTTCATACATTTAGTGGTTGGAGAATTCAATTTCGGTTTTTCGTTTTTTTCTAAATTCGATTTCTGGCAAACCCAATGAAGTATACATGTTGGGGAAGCTCAGGCGAAACCGCGCATGTTTTAGCTTATTATATACATGTATTGGAGGTTGGGGAGTGAGATCGCAGCAGGACGGAGACCCCCCACCGGGAAATCGCTTCGTTTCGTTAGTGTCGTGCGTGCGGGCGCGGCGAAGTTGCGTGGGCGCGCGAAAGGAATGAACCCGCCGTTGCTAGGATGAAGTCAATATGTCCCGCGGTGTCCCGTGGTGCCCCGTGGTGTCCCGCCGTTGCGAGGGCGAGCTCAAGACAAATGATTCTCCCCCGCCCGCCCGTCAGGCGGTGGCCCGCGGTGTCCCGCGGTGTCCCGTGGTGTCCCGTGGTGTCCCGTGGTGTCCCGCAAATGCTAGGGCGAAGTCAAGACAAATGATTCTCCCCCGCCCGCCCGTCCAGCGTTGGCCCGCGGTGTCCCGCGGTGTCCCGTGGTGTCCCGTGGTGTCCCGCCGTTGCGAGGGCGAAGTCAAAACAAATGATTATCCCACGCCCGCCCGTCCGTCCGTCCGTCCGGCGGTGGCTCGCGGTGTCCCGTGGTGTCCCGTGGTGTCCCGTTGAGAGTGATATCGATAGTGCGATCGATAGTGAGATCGACAGTGAGATCGATAGTGAGATCGACAGGTGTCCCGTGGTGTCCATTGGTCTCTCGTTGAGAGTAAGTTCGATATTGATACCGGTAGTGATATCGATAGTGGGATCGATAGTGAGATTGGCAGGTGTCCCGTGGCGTCCCGTGGTGTCCCGTTGAGTGAGATTGATCGTGGGATCGATCGTGAGATCGATCGATCGTGAGATCGATAATGATATCGATCGTGAAATCGATAGGGATATCGATCGTGCTTCCGATAGTGATACCGACAGCGGGATCGATAGTGCGATGGATAGTGAGATCGATGGTGAGACCGATTGGGTCAGACATGTGTTTCCCCCCACACACACAACCTCCTTATCACTTGAAGGGTGGTCATATAAGTATATACATACACATACACGTACATATATGAAAAGCCTTGGAAGATCTGCCCGCCCGGTGTCTGTCCAATTGTAGAAGATGCATCATATTTCCTTTCGTACAGGATTACGCACTCATTCCTTGCGGGTGTTACAATCAGATAGCCGTTGTGAGGGGGTTACACGGGGTTTCTCTTTCGTAAAGAACTGCAGTCGCATCCTTTTTGAGGGTGGTTGCAATATGTTTTTTGTGGGGAAGGGTTTTACTAGGATTTCTTGTCGTGGAAGGTTTGCATGTATCCGTGTATGCGTGTATGCATGTATGTAGGTATGCACGTATCCGTGTATGTGTGTGCGCATGTTCGTATGTATGGATGTACGCGTGTGTATGTGTGTATGTATGCACGCATGTATGCATGTATATACGAATGTATGCGGGTTTGACCCTGTGTATGCCTGTATGTATGTATGTATGCATGAATGTATGCGCATATGTCTGTAGGTAGGTGTATGTATGCATGCAGGAATGACTGTGCGTATGCATGCATGTATGTATCTGTATGTATGTACGTATGTTTGTATGTGTATGTATGTATGTATGTAGGAAGGTAGGTAGGTAGGTATGTATGTAGGTGCATATGTTTGTATGTGTGTGCATGTGTATGTGTATTGTTACGTGTATGTGTATGCGTATGTGTAGGTGCATGTGTATGTGCATGCATGTACGTACGTATGTATGTATGCATGTGTATGTGTTTGCATGTAAGTCTATGTATGTCTTCACATACATCTGAAAGTATAAACGTACACCCACGATTCCAAGTGCCAAGTGTTCGGGCGACATTCCTACCATTTCAGTTATGATTATGATTCGGCCTGTGCGGCCGAGGAGACTCCCAGAACAGCCCGACCTCAAACATGTTCGTGTTTGGATGTTCGCAAACTGTTGGTCAGCGGTTCCGATCCAGCTGTGCGCGAGCTCCAATGCCGCCAAGGGCCTCGTCCACGGTCGCCCGTTCGAGGGGAAACGGAGATGCTCAAAACGAACGGTTCGCAAGAGGTTCGGAAACAAATGTTCGCGAACGACGTTAAGCAGCTCAGTTTTACAGCTGTTGGCGTAACAAAAACGCCCATCCACAGACGTTGCGTCGACGGTGCCGCCCCTGGACCCCCCCATTTCGATGTTGCGTTCGCGGCCGTTTTCGGGGTGCAAGCATCGGCAAAAACACGCCCCAAGCTCCACCGCCAAGGCGACATCGTTTTCAACATTGAAATTTGGGGGCACGGGGGTTCTGAACACAGCAGCGTTGTCCATTAAGCTTGGTGGGCGTTTTTTACGCCAACGGTGGTAGGGGTCTCTAGAGGGCTCAGGGGCCTTCCCCCAGGACCAGGTCTTCCTCCCGGGCCGTGTTCTTACGATCTCTGGGCCCGTGGAGGACCCCGAGAGCCCGAAAACGGTGAAAAACTTCAGGACCCTCCCCTTCAGGACCCCTCTCCCCCCTGGCGAGCTCCAGGGGTCTCCAGGAGGACTCTGGAGGCGTCTCGAAGACACCCCGCGGCACCGCGGCGGGCCGCCCGACGCCGCGGCACGGCGGTGCCTTCCGCGCCCGCGCCCGCGCCCCGCCGCCGGCCCGTCCACGACCCCTCGCGCTCTCTGCGGGCCCTCCGTGCGGCCGCGGAGCCGATGCGGGAGAGAGCGGCAGGGGGGGGGGAGGAGCGGGGAGCGACGAAGGATCAGCACGCGCCCATACCCACAGAGGGGGCGCAC